TTTCTCTCCTTCTCTCTTTTTTTTAGTCAAGGTCTCACTCTTTTGCCCATGTTGGAGTGCAGTGGTATGATCACGGCTCACTGCAGCCTCAATCTCCCGCACTCAGGTGATCCTCCTATCTCAGCCTCCAAAGTAGCTGGGCATACACTGCAAGCATACACTACCACATCTGGCTCATTTTTTTTTGAGATGGAGTCTTGCTCTGTCACCCAGGCTTGAGTGCAGTGGTGTGATCTCAGCTCACTGCAACCTCTGCCTCCTGGGTTCTGTCGTGCCTCAGCCTCCCAAGTAGCTGGGATTACAGGCACCCGCCACCATGCCCTGCTAATTTTAAAAAATATTTTTATATAGAGACGAGGTTTCACCATGTTGCCCAGGCTGGTCTCAAACCCCTAAGCTCAAGTGATCCATCTGCCTCGCCCTCCCAAAGTGCTGGGATTATAGGCATGAGCCATGGCGCCTGATCCGGCTAATTTTTAATATTTTGTAGAGATGAGGTCTCACCATGTTGCCCAGACTGGTCTTGAACTCCTGGGTTCAAGCAATCCCCCTGCCTCAGCCTCCCAAAGTGCTGGCATTACAGGCATGAGCCACCATGCCCAGCCTTTTCTTCTTCTTTTTTTAAGTTTCCTTGTTAGTAGGCAAGGATAGACTTTGGTTTTTTTTGTTGTTGTTTTTTTTTTTTGAGATGGAGTCTCGCTCTGTCGCCAGGCTGGAGTACAGTGGCATGATCTCGACTTACGGCAACCTCCGCCTCCTGGGTTCAAGCAATTCTCCTGCCTCAGCCTCCTGAGTAGCTGGGACTACAGGTGCCTGCCACCATGCCCGGCTAATTTTTGTACTTTTAGTAGAGACGAGGTTTCACCATGTTGGCCAGGATGGCCTTGATCTCTTGACCTCGTGATCCTTCCGCCTCCGCCTCCCATAGTGCTGGGATTACAGGCGTGAACCACTGCACCCGGCTTCTTTTTCAAAAAGTATCTTATGAGGTGAAGTGCACATAACGTTAATCATTTTGTAGAGGCACTAGTACATTCACAATGTCATACAGCTACCACCTCCACCATTTCCTTCCTTTTTGTTGTTTTTTACTGTTTCTTGTTCAGGTGAATTCCAAAACATTTTCATCACCCCATAGTCATTATACAGTTCCTCCCCATTTTCCTTAGCCCTTGGCCTCTGGCAGTCGGCAATCTGCCTGTGTCTCCATGGATTCATCTTTGTGGATATTTCACATAAGTGCAATCATACAGTACGTGACTGTTTGTGTCTCCCTGCTTTCACTTAACAGGATGCTTTGGAGGTATATCTACGTTGTAGCAAATGTCAGTGTTTCACTCCTTTTTTGAGATGGAGTCTCGCTCTGTGGCCCAGGCTGGAGTGCAGTGGCACGATCTCAGCTCCCTGTAACTTCCGCCTCCCAGGTTCAAGCGATTCTCCTGCCTCAGCCTCCTGAGTAGCTGGGATTACAGATGCCTGCCACCATATCTACTTAATTGTTTTGTATTTTTAGTAGAGATGGGGTTTCACCATGTTGGCCAGTCTCGAACTCTGACCTCAAGAGATCCACCCACCTCAGCCTCCCAAAGTGCTGGGATTACAGGTGTGAGCCACCATGCCTGGCCGTTTCATGCCTTTTCATGGCCAACTAACGTTCCATTATATGGATAGACCACATTTGGTTTATCCATTTGTCTGTCGATTGGACATTTGTCTTATTTCCACTTTTTGCCTATTGCAAATAATGCTGCTATTAACATGTGTGTACACGATTTTCTGTGGAAATGCTTTAATTTATCTTGAGTATATAATTAGGAGTAAAACTTCTGGGTCATATGGTAACTCTGTGTTTTAACATTTTGGGGCTGCGCATGGTGACTCATGCCTGTAATCCCAGCCCTTTGGGAAGGGTGAGGTGGGAGGATTGCTTGAGCCCAGGAATTTACGACCAGCCTGAGCAACATAGTGAGACTCTCGTTTCTAAAAAAAAAAGTTAAAAAAAAAGTCTCTTAAAAAAAAAAAAGTAAAAAAAACATACTTTGAGGAACTGGTGCGGTGGCTCACGCCTGTAATCCCAGCACTTCGGGAGGCCAAGGCGGGTGGATCACTTGAGGTCAGAAGTTCAAGATCAGCCTGGCCAACATGTCGAAACCCTGTCTCTACTAAAAATACAAAAATTAACTGGGTGTGGTGGCGCACACATGTAATCCCAGCAACTCAGGAGGCCGAGGCAGGAGAATCACTTGAACCTGGGAGGCAGAGGTTGTGGTGAGCCAAGATTGCACCCCCAGCCTGTTTCCCAGGCTGTTTTGTTTTGTTTAAGATGGAGTCTTAAAAAACAAAACAAAACATATTTTGAAGAACTGCCAAACTTTTCTGAAGCAGCTGCCCCATTTTACATTCCCACCAGCAGTATATGAGAGTTTCAATTTCTCTACATCCTTGTCAACACTTGCTACTGTCTTTTAAAAAGTTTTAGGCATCCCAGTAGGTGTGAAGTGGTATCTCTTTGTGGTTTTGATTTGCATTTCCCTAATGACTCATGTTGTTAAGCATCTTTTCACGTGTTATTGATCATTTGTACATCTTCTTTGGAGCAAGATGTATTTGGATCCTTTGCCCATTTTGATTTTATTTTTTATTTTTAGAGTTGGAGTCTCACTCTGTGATCCGGGCTGGAGTGCAGCCTCATACTCCTGGGCTCAAGCGATCCTTCTGCCTCAGCTTCCCAACTAATTGGGACTACAGGTGCATACCACTAAACCCGGGTAATTTTTTATTTCTTTATTTATTTTTATTATTTATTTATTTGCTTATTTATTGAGATGTAGTCTTGCTCTCTCGCCTAGGCTGGAGTGCAGTGGCATGAACTTGGCTCACTGCAACCTCCATCTCCCAGGTTCAAGCAATTCTCCTGCCTCAGTCTCCCAAGTAGCTGGGATTACAGGCGCGCACTACCACGCCTGGCTAATTTTTGTATTTTTAGTAGAAACAGGGGTTTTACCATGTTGACCAGGCTGGTCTGGAAGTCCTGACCTCAGGTGATCCACCAACCTCAGCCTTCCAAAGTGCTGGGATTACGGGCAGGAGCTACTGTGCCCGCCTTTTTTTTTTTTTTTTTTTAAAGAGACAACGTTCTTGGTATGCTGCCTAGGCTGGTCTTGAACTCCTGGACTCAAGTGATCCTCCTGCCTTGGCCTCCCAAAGTGCTGGGATCATAAGCATAAGCCACCTGGCCCAATGTTCGTTTTCTAGTTTGGGTCATTGTACTGTGGTTATGTGGGCTGTTAATGTCAGGGGGAGCTGGGAAAGAATGTATAGGAATGTCCCTATTTTTTGCAATTATTCTGTAAGTCTAAAATGATCTCGAAATCAAAGAGTTAAAAAAGAGTTGGGCAAGCACAATGGCTCATGCCTGTAATCCTAACACTTTGGGAGGTTGAGGTGAGAGGGTTACTGGAGCCCAGGAGTTGGAGGTTGCAGTGAGCTATGATGGAGACTCTGCCTTCCAGCCTTGGTGACAGAACAAGGCCCTATCTCTAAAAAAACAAAAACAAAAACAAAACAACAACAACAACAACAACAAAAATGGCAGGTGCAGTGGCTCATGCCTATAACATCAGCACTTTGGGAGGCTGAGGCTGGTGGATCACCCAGGAGTTCGAGACCAGCCTGGCCAACATAATGAAACCCGGTCTCTACTAAAAATACAAAAATTAGCCGGGTGTGGTGGTGTATGCCTGTAGTCCCAGCTACTCGGGAGGCTGAGGCACGAGAACCTGGGAGGTAGGAGTTGAATTGAGCTGAGATCACACCACTGCACTCCAGCCTGGGCAACAGAGTGAAACTCTTGTCTCTACAAAATAATAATAATAATTAAACAAAACATATTTTGAGGAACTGACATGGTGGCTCACACCTGTAATCCCAGCACTTTGGGAGGCCGAGGCGGGTAGATCATTTGAGGTCAGGAGTTTGAGACCAGGCTGGCCAACATGATGAAATCCCATCTCTACTAAACATATAAAAATTAGCCGGGTGTGGTGGCATGCACCTATAGTCCCAGCTACTCGGGAGGCTGAGGCACGAGAATTGCTTGAACCTGAGAGGCGGAGGTTGAAGTGAGCAGAGATCATGCTGCTGCACTGCAGCCTGGGTGACAGAGCGAAACTCCATCTTGGTGGAAAAAAAAAAAAGATCCTCGTTCCATCTTCCAGGGAGGGAATCTCCACTTGAAAACCTATTTTTTTTTTTTTTTTTTTTTGAGACAGAGTCTCGCTCTATTGGCAAGCTGAAGTGCAGTGGTGCGACCTCGGCTCACGCAACCTCCACCTTCTGGATTCAAGCAGTTCTCCTGCCTCAGCCTCCCAAGTAGCTGGGACTACAGGCATGCGCCACCATGCCTGGTTAATTTTTGTATTTTTATTAGAGACAGGGTTTCATCCTGTTAGCCGGGATGGTCTCGATCTCTTGACCTCGTAATCCACCCGCCTGGGCCTCCCAAAGTGCTGGGATTACAGGGGTGAGCCACCGCGCCCGGCCTTGAAAGCCTATTTGACCACAAAGTTTGCAACACGCTGTGCTGTTGATCTGATCTCCAGAAAGCCTGCTGCAGGAACCAGAATTTGCCCACTGAAGCTGGAAACCTTATCGGACTCATCACAAGTGTGTGAGCGGATCCATTACTGTTTCTGTTGATTTTTTTTGCAGGCCTATTTATCCCTCCAGCAGGTTCAAATGTGAACCCAGGACCAGCCCTGTCCAGCGGCCTTTCAGGACCTGTCCTCTGCCTGTCCTTGCTAAGGTGTCTCTCCCGGGACAAGGACAGCCCCAGATGTCTTCAGCTCCAGCCTCTCTGAGGCCGTGCCTACCTGGGAAGCAATGAGCTGGCAGAGGCCAGGATCGGGGGCCATCTCCTGGCACCAGGGTGCCCAAGAACAGGGAGAGATCAGGAAGCCAAGGGTCCCCACGGAGAGGAGCAGACGAGACAACTGCAGGGGTCCTGGACCTGTCACAAGCTTTATTGTCCCGAGCACAGACTCGCCACACTTTAACAATTCCACTCTGGGGAGGGGAGGGGCGCAGGAAGGACCTGGGGAGGGGACATGGCTGAGCCACGCCCGGGCGGCCACACCGGGCAGGCTGAGAGGCCCACGGAGGCAGAAGCTCCCAGGGAAACCGCTTCTTGGACACCCATCACCAGGAGCCCACCTCCGGCGACTCAGCTTCTCCCAGCGCTCTGCTAGGTGGACCTCTGGCTGTTAGTAGACTAATCGGTGCCCCTGCAGATGGGGCAGAGCTGCCTGATTTTGCTAGAAAGAGCTGTATTTGACCCTGGGTTAGGCCACTAAAGCATCGCTTCTAGACAGCTGTTAATAGAACTGCATGCGAGAGCTACCAAAAGCCAACAGGGACTGGGAGGTGGGCCGGGGGGACCAACTCTGACTCCCCAATGGGCTGCATTTGGGCAGGAACGTGAGCGCCACCTACCTGTAGCAGGTGGTACTCACGAGGGCGACCTGGGCCGTTCCTATGAATTGCACACGTGTCCTGTGCGTTTTGGGAATGCCGGGACAGGGCATCCGGCTTCTCCTTCTGGTCCCCTGATGGGGGAGGCCTCACAGGAAAACACTCCCTGAGCTGCCGGAGGGTGGGGCAGGGCCCCCTGTGCTGATGCCGGGTGCAAAGCGGTAAGCAACCTGTCGGTCCTCCAGCGGAGAGGTGGAGGCTGCAGGGCCAAGGCTGGCTTTTTCCACCACGCACAGGCCTGGGATAACTTAGCAGGCTTGAGGGGAAGACAGGGGGCGCAGTGAGATTTCTCTTACTCCTAGCCCCTGTTAGGAGATGGGGCTGGAGACGCTCTGTGCAGGTGTCTGGCAAGACCAGGAAGGGATGTTCCATGTGGCACCCACACCCCGAATGCCTGGCTGTGTGTACTTGTGTGTGTACACAGCACCTCTAGGCTGTAGGAACGTTTGCAGTATCTGTGGGCACAGTCCTGCCAGGCCTGGGTCTCAGTCCCAGAAACCAAATATGTGTCTCTGTGTGGCCTGAGCGTGGTTCACAGCAAACGCCGCCACCCACTCAAACACCGCCACCCACCCACACGGTCATCTGTGCACATGTGGTCCCTCTGAGTGCGTGCGTGTGTGTGTGTGTGTGTGAACGTGGTGTGTACATAAGGACCTGCTTAGATGCATCTGCAGGTGGGTGCAGATGTTTGGAACATCTGGTCAACCCCAGGGGAAACCGTATTACTGACCTTTGACCTGCCTGGAGCCTCCACTCTGAGCTGCCTCTGCCCTGGGCTCTGAGTCTGGGTTTGCCCAAGGTCACGGTGGGAGGTGAGGAGAGGGGCTTCCAAACCTTCGTAACACTGCGTCTCTGGCCTTGGTGACATCTTCGGCCAGCAGCTTAGAGGTGTGTGTGTGTTGGTGTCGGTGGGCGGCGGGAGAAAGATCCTGTTCCCCTGCCCTCCGCCCCCGCCAACACCTTGAACCTGGGGGCCTCGCTGGGCAGGCAGGCTGGCTGAGGGGAACTGGTACCACTGTTTGAAGAAGGTTCAGAAGGTGGGGACAAGAAGCCCTGGGGACCGCCTTGGCCTGGAAGTGGCTTCGGAAAAGGGGCCCCCACTTGGCTCTTAAAGACTGGACATTCCCCCTTGGTGCCTGCATGGACAAACTTAGCCCCACCCTGCCCCCCTCCCCGCCGCCGGCCCCTCTGGGGAGACCCGAGGGGGAACCGGCAGAAAAAGAGGACAGGGGTACTAAGATGGTCCTAAGGGCAGCTCCTTCTGGACAGAGGGTCCTGGCCGGATACCCTCTGCCTCCACTGACAAAATCCAGAAGCTGCCGGGCGTCCAGGCCGAAGGTCCCCGGGTCAGGCCGGGGCTGTACCGTTCACACTCTCTGTGGAAGGCTGGGCTTGAGGAAGCGTCCTGGTCTGGCAGGGGATCAGGGTGGGGGATTGTCCGCGGCGGTGAGTACGTTATTGTTACAAACACTGTTTTGTCTCCAAAGTGACAGTCCCGGCTCCCGCCTGGAGGAGGTGCTGCCGGGCAGCCGCGCAGGGCTCTGGTGTGGACTGGACCACTCCACACGGTATCCCCTCAGGGTCAGTGCTTGTCCTAGAGAGAGTAAAGAGCATCATCAGAAAGGGTCTCAGAGAGCCTGGAGGGCCAGGCAGTCAGAGCGGGGTCAGGGAGGAAAGGAGGTGGGGCCGGGTGGGGGAGGAGGGAACACCAGCATAGAGGGAACTGCACGTGCCAAGGCGCTGAGGCATGAAGTGCCTCCCTGCTGTGTGTTTGGGGCTGAGTGAGACAGCAGGTAGGGTGGGAGGTGCCGACGGGAAGCTGAGGGGAAGAAGCAGGTTTTTTATTTGTGTGTTTGTTTGTTTGTTTTGAGACAGAGTCTTGCTCTGTCACCAGGCTGGAGTGCAGTGGTGTGATCTCAGCTCGCTGCAACCTTCTACTTCCTGGTTCAAGCGATTCTCCCGGTTCAAACGATTCTCCTGCTTTGGCCTCCTGAGTAGCTGGGGTAACAGGCATGTGCCACCACACCCAGCTAATTTTTGTATTTTTAGTAGACACGGGGTTTCACCATGTTGGCCAGGATGGTCTTGATCTCCTGACCTCATGATCCACCCACCTCGGCCTCCCAAATTGCTGGGGTAGGCGTGAGCCACCGTGCCCGGCCAGAAGCCGGTTTTACAAAGAGCCCTGAGTGCCTGTGCAGGGCTAGATCAGAGGAAATTAAACTGGAGACTCCAAGTCTCAGTTTTCACATCTGTCTTTCTTTTCTTTTCTTTTTTTTTGAGAGACAGAGTCTTGCTCTGTTGCCCAGGCTGGAGTGCAGTGGCACAATCTCGGCTCACTGCAACCTCCGCCTCCTGACTCAGCCTCTGAGTAGCTGGGACTACAGGCATGTGCCACCACACCCAGATGATGTTTTTTTTTTTTTGTATTTTTAGTAGAGATGGGGTTTCGCTATGTTGGCTAGGTTGGTCTCGAACTCTTGACCTCAAGTGATCTGCCCGCCTTGGCCTCCCAAAGTGCTGGGATTATAGGCGTGAGCCACTGCGCCTGGCCAGTTTTCACATCTGTGAACTGGGATGACCCCATGTGCCTTGCAGGGTGGCCGAGAAAACAAGGCCAGGAGGACAAAATCACACTGACTCCTCCGAGGCTGGCTCTGCCCACACAACCCTGCCTGTGTCTGGAGCTTGGCAGATTCTGTGGCTACGCTGCTCCTATTTCTAGTGAGCACCTGTGCTCCAGGGGTTCTGCTGTCAGAACTAGGTTCTCTCTCTCTTTCTGTGTTTTTCTTAGAGACAGGGTCTCACTTTATTACCAAGGTTGGAGTGCAGTGGCGCAATCCTAGCTCACTGCAGCCTCAAACTCTTGGACTTGAGTGATCCTCCTGCCTTAGCCTCCTGAGTAGCTAAGGCTACAGGTGTGCGCCACCACACCCAGTTAATTTTTAAAATTATTATTACTATTTTTTGAGACAGAGTTTTGTGCTTGTTGCCCAGGCTGGAGTGCAATGGCGCGATCTCGGCTCACTGCAACCTCCACCTCCCACGTTCAAGTGATTCTCCTGCCTTAGCTTCCCGTGTAGCTGGGATTACAGCTGTGTGCCACCCTACCGGGCTAATTTTGTATTTTCCGTAGAGATGGAGTTTCACCATATTGGCCAGGCTGGTCTCAAACTCCTGACCTCAAGTGATCCATTGGCCTGGGCCTCCCAAAGTGTTGGGATTACAGATGAGAGCCACTGTGCCCGGCCTTTTAAAATATATATATATATATATATATATATTTTTTTTTTAGAGAGAGGGTCTTGCTATGTTGTCCAGGCTGGTCTCAAACTCCTGGGCTCAAGTGATCCTCCTGGCTTGACCAGCCAAAGTGCTGGGGTTACAGGCGTGGGCCACTGCACCCAACCTGTAACTTTTTTAAGAAGGGAAGAAAACAAAAATCAAAAGGGCAGGGTGAATCCAGAATCAAGTTTGCCTGCAACAGCACCCTCCCTGAGTGACTCTATTGTAAAGCTTCCTGCAGAATGCATCTTTGTCTGTAGTGACATTTCAAGGATTTTCTCCAGAGAGGTCTGCCTGCATGGGAGGGACCTGGGAGGGCTGAGGCGCCCCTCACCTCTTGTTTCTGGGCTTTGTCCTGCTGGTGGATGCCGTTTGCAGAACCGGAATTGCCAATGATCTGGAAGAGTCAGGGGAGACACTGAGCGAGGCAGCAGTTCCCGATTTGCTCACTAGATGGCGAGGTCTTCCTATGGGACCATCTCAGGCTCCAAATTCCAACCCCTTCAGCCTGGGGCTCCCAGCACCCCCAAAGACCAAGCCTCTAGGGGCAAGGCTGCTTCTCCCTTCTTAGTCTAAGCCCCACAGGGCAAAGCCATGTGCCCTTGAACTGCGGTTCCAGAGGGCAGGGCTACCTCCCCTTTCAGCCAGGGTTCCTGGGCCAGGCTGCCTCCCGCTTCAGACCAGGGTTCCTGGGCCAGGCTGCCTCCCCCTTCAGACCAGGGTTCCTGGGCCAGGCTGCCTCCTCCTTCAGACCGGGGTTCCTGAAACAGAGCTGCCTCCACCTTCAGACCGGGGTTCCCGGGACAGGGCTGCCTCCCTCTTCAGACAGGGGGTTCCTGGGACACAGCTACCTCCCCCTTCAGACCGGGGTTCCTGGGACAGAGCTGCCTCCCTCTTCAGACCGGGGTTCCTGGGACAGAGCTGCCTCCCTCTTCAGACCGGGGTTCCTGGGACAGAGCTGCCTCCCCCTTCAGACTGGGGTTCCTGGGACAGAGCTGCCTCCCCCTTCAGACAGGGGGTTCCTGGGACACAACTACCTCCCCCTTCAGACCGGGGTTCCTGGGACAGAGCTGCCTCCCCCTTCAGACCGGGGTTCCTGAGACAGAGCTGCCTCCCTCTTCAGACTGGCACTCCCAGGACAGGGCTGCCTACCTCCTCGGACTACGGTTTTAAAGATAAGCCTGCCTCCCGCTTCAAACAGGGACTCCGAGGACACAGCCCCGTGGCTTGCCTCCTGGTGGGCCCTGCCGGTCGCGGCTCACCTGGGCCTTGTCAGGGCAGCTCCTCATGGCCTCCATCAGCTTCTCCACCTGCTGAGCCTGGTCCAGTGCGTCCCGCAGAGCGTCCTCCGTGCTCATCAGTTGGTGCTGCAGCCGCAGGAGCTCGGGCGCCGAGGACGGGTCGATGAGGGAGTAGCGCCTCTGATCCGACAGCGATTTCTCTTTGTCCTGGAAGCGGCAGGAGAGTGGAAGAGCGCATGAGTGTGTGTGTGTGTGTGTATGCATGTGCACACACACGTGTGTGTTGGTGGGGGTCTCGCCTCTAGGCAGGAAAATCTTCCAGCCTCACTTTGTCTCTGGGTTCCAAGCCTGGGCATCACCAGAGGATTCTCAGGCCTCTGTGAGGTGCTCCATTGTCTCCAAGTGGGGAACCCAGGAACCCCTCCCTCTGGTTTTTTTGTTTTTTTTTTTGAGACAGAGTCTCACTCTGTCGCCCAGGCTGGAGTGCAGTGGCGCGATCTCGGCTCACTGCAAGCTCCACCTCCTGGGTTCACGCCATTCTCCTGCCTCAGCCTCCCAAGTAGCTGGGACTGCAGGTGCCCACCACCATGCCCGGCTAATTTTTTCATATTTTTAGTAGAGGCAGGGTTTCACCATGTTAGCCAGGATAGTCTCAATCTCCTGACCTCATGATCTGCCTGCCTCGGCCTCCCAAAGTGCTGGGATTACAGGCATGAGCCACTGCGCCCGGCCTTGCCTTTAAAAAAAAGAAAAAAAGAAAAAAAGACAGAGACTGGGCATGGTGGCTCACGCCTGTAATCCCAGCACTTTGGGAGGCTGAGGTGGGCGGATCACCTGAGGTCAGGACAAGCCTACCCAACATGGTGAAACCCCGTTTCTACTAAAAGTACAAAAATTAGCTGGGTGTGGTGGCCCACATCTGTAGTCCCAGCTACTCAGGAGGCTGAGGCAGGAGAATCACTTGAACCTGGCAGGTGGAGGTTGCAGTGGGCCGAGATCATGCCACTGCACTCCAGCCTGGGCGACAGAGTGAGACTTGGTCCCCACCTCTCCTCCCCGCCCCCCCAAAAAAGACTGAGTCTCACTCTACTGTGCACGCTGGAGTGCAGTGGTGCAATCATAGCTCATTACAGCCTCCAGTGCCTGGGCTCAAGTGATCCTCCTACCTCAGCCTCCCAAGTAGCTGATACTACAGAGCATGCCACCACACTTGGCTAATTTTTAAATTTTTTTTGTAGAGATGGGGTCTTATTATGAGGTCCAGGCTGGTCTTGAACTCCTGACCTCAAGCCATCCTCCCAACTTGGCCTCCCAAAGCGGTGGGATTATAGGCATGAGCCACCGCACCTGGCACCCTTCTTCTTACACCGCCCCCGCCAAACTGTCTTATAAGGTTCCTCCTCTCCATAGTCACCTCCACCATGGCACCCAGAGCTGTACCTGCCCCAAGGCCTGCCAGCCTCTCTCCTGCACAGACTCCATCCTTCAGCACTGCCCAGTCCCGTCTGCTCTGACCCTCCAAACTTCCTCTCAACAGAACCTCCCTCCTGAAATCAAGAGGCTTCTACCCACCCACCAAGGTTTCCCAAGTTCTCCCGTGGACACAGTGCAGGGAGGTGACAAGACAAGAGGCTGCCCTGGAGGCAGAGGCCGCCAGTTCCCAAGTAAACTTGACCAACCCGTGCCCCGTGGGCACGAGTCTGAGCTCAGCACTGCCCACTCCTACAAGGCTCTGGGGAAGCCCCTGGGGGGATTCAAGACTCCCCAGTCCGTGCCAACCCCAGGGGCTTATCTTCTGTTGAGCCACAGGGACCACAGAGGGTGCAGCCACCAAACCCCCGCTAGCCAGATAGGCCAGGACTTGAAGGCCGGCAGGACTCAGTGATCCCCGACAGCCACCGTCTGGGTGTGTGACCAGAGTGATGCTCTTTATCCGCGAACACTGAGGGCCAAGGGCCTGCTCCCGGATATGGGGGGCTGAGGCCCTCCCTCCAGCCTGTGAACCGTCATCCCCTTGCCCAGGGCTGGGCCCTGCTCTCCTTCCATCACCTCCGCAGTGGCTGAGCCCAGTGGCTGGGCAGGAGGGTGGTGGGGGGCTTCAGGGCAGCTTTCTCAGACGAGGGCCTGTCCTCCTGGACCCCACGCCCTCCATATCGTGACATTGACCAGGCACAGGCTTGTCCTGAGTGCTGATCATGGGAGGATGGGGTGGGGATGGGATGGTTTATTCTTTTTTTTTTTTTTTTTTTTGAGACGAAGTCTCTCTCTGTCACCCAGGCTGGAGTGCAGTGGTGCGATCTCAGCTCACACCAACCTACGCCTCCTGGGTTCAAGTGATTCTCCTGCCTCAACCTCCCAAGTAGCTGGGATTACAGGTGTGCACCACCATGCCTGGCTAATTTTTGTATTTTTAGTAGAGATGGGGTTTCATCACGTTGGCCAAGCTGTCTGGTACTCTTGACCTCAAGTGATCCACCTGCCTCAGCCTCCCAAAGTGCTGGGATTACAGGTGTGAGTCACCAGGCCTGGCCAAGGGATGGGGATGGTCCTGTCCTATGCTACCAGCATCACCTGCCTACCCCAACCCCAGTTTCTGCAGACTCAGTGAAGTCAGCTTCCTATTCATAACAGAAAAGAAATCTCAGCTGGGTGCGGTGGCTCACGCCTGTAATCCCAGCACCTTGGGAGGCTGAGGCGGGTGGATCACAGGGTCAGGAGTTCAAGACCATCCTGCCTAACATGGTGAAACCCCGTCTCTACTAAAAATGCAAAAAAATTAGCCGGGCATGGTGGCGGGTGCCTGTAGTCCCAGCTACTCGGGAGGCTGAGGCAGGAGAATGGCGTGAACCCGGGAGGCGGAGCTTACAATGAGCTGAGATCGCGCCATTGCACTCCAGCCTGGGCGACAGAGTGAGACTCCGTCTCAAAAAAATAAAATAAAATAAAATAAAGAAATCTCAGCCTCCCAGAATCCTAGGCCTGCTGTAGACTTTCAAGTTCTCATCTCCTTCCTGAGACTGATGTGTGAAGCCCCACTGCAGGACCCTGAGCAAGGAACCACTGGCTTGTGGTTGATTACTCCTTTGCATGGGGAGCTCATTACCTGTATTGGCTCATCCTGCCTCTGGATAGGTCAGATATGAAGTTTTCCTTTGCACTGTATCACACAGACTGCCACATAGGCAGCCATGATGTCTGCAAAAGCAGCTAGCCAGGGTCCCTCCACCTGCCTATGGTCCTAGAAGATTTCCAATCCTCACTGTGACTCAGCTGTCCCTGGGGTCATTCCAGGAGGTCTCCAGTCTCTACGGCCTGACAGCAAGGTTATCCCAGCCCCACCTGGACTAGTGCCCCTGCCTTTAGGCCACCCCTACCCCACATACCAGCCCGGTCAGCTTTTCACGCAGGCCCCGGATGTCATCCTTGAGTTTCTGCTCCTTGATCCGCCACTCAGCCTTGTGCACCTCGCGGCTCAGGTCCCTCTCCGGCCCCGGGGAGTGACGATTGGCCTCCAGCAGCAACACCCGCAGTTCGTTCAGGCTCCTGGGGGTGAGACAGGCACAGAACCACTGCACTCAGCCCCGGCTCCTCCAGCTCCCACACTCTAGCAATTTGCCAAGTGTCCAGGGGCTGACCAGCTACTAGATGGCATCTGTGCCACAAGGGGCCACGGTAGACACAATTCAACCAAGCCCAAGAGGGGCCAGGATTTGGGGTTGGGATAGTCCTGAGGAATTGACCTTTCCCAGAATACTGGTTAAAGTTGTTCTGGGGGGAGTGCAAAGCACGGTGGCTCACGCCTGTGATCCCAGCACTTTGGGAGGCTGAGGTGGGCGGATCATTTGAGTTCAGGAGTTTGAGACAGTCTGGCCAACATGGTGAAACACCATCTCTACTAAAAATACAAAAATTAGCCAGTCGTGGTGGTGGGAGTCTGTAATCTCAGCTACTTGGGCAACTGAGGCAGGAGAATCACTTGAACCTGGGAGGTGGAGGCTGCAGTGAGCCAAGATTGTGCCACTGCACTCCAGCCTGGGCGACAGAGCAAGACTATCTCAAAAAATAAAAATAAAAAATAATTTTTTTAAAGAAAAGACAATGTATTTGTTTAATTAAAACACACACACACACACACACACACACACACACACACACACACACAACCCCAAAACATTTACCCAATAAATCTCATGAGGCAAGACATTTTATCTTTGTTTTAAAAATAGAGACAGGGTCTTGCTATGTTTCCCAGGCTCGTCTCAAACTCCTGGCCTCAAGTGATCCTCCCACCTTAGCTTCCCAAAGTGCTGGGATTACAGGTATGAGGCACCATCCCTGGCCGGCAAGACATTTTGAATACCTGATGTCAAATAGGTTTTATTTCCCATGTCACCTCTTAATCAACTGACAGGAGCTACCTGGAGTACTATGATGAGAATGGTTCTGCAGCCACATTTGGGGTCTGCAGGGAATAGTGCAGTGATTGATTGGTAATGCCTGCCATGGGCACAGGCAGGAGCACACACACCCCTGTGCCCCAGCCTTTTCCCTTGCCTGCAACTACTACAGAGGGGAAAACTCCCTTACTAGGTGGCCACAGGTAGAGAACAGAGGAAATCTGCTGGCATGGCTCCCTTCCCTTTCCTCTTCCTTCCTGCTATGATGTATGATGTGATGGCTGGACCTTCAGCAGCACCTTGCAACCATGAGGCAAGGAGCACTCCTAAAGTGTTGGCACTGAGATCTTAAGCTCCTGAACCAACTGCCAGTCACAGCTACCTCCAGATTTCTTGTTATGTAAGAAAAGGAAATCTCCACTAGTTTAATCTGCTGTTTGGTGGATGTGACATCACTGTCAACAAAGCACTCCTAGTTGATCTCCCACCTCCATCCTAAGCACTGCAGGGGTGTGGAGGAGCCCATGGTGGCCTGTATCAATCAAGAAAGGCTTCAAGGAAGAGGTGACAATGTGCTAAGCCTTGAAGCATGGACTGGACTTAGCAAAATGACCAAAAAGAAGGTGTCTCTGGCTGGGCATGGTGGCTCATGCCTGTAATCCCAGCACTTTGGGAGGCTGAGGAGGACAGATCACCTGAGGTCAGGAGTTTGAGGGTTCAAGTGACTCTCCTGCATCAGCCTCCTGAGTAGCTGGGACTACAGGTGTGTACCATTATGCCTGGCTAATTTTTGTATTTTTAGTAGAGATGGGGTTTCACCATGTTGACCAGGCTGATCTCAAGCTCCTGAGCTCAAGTGATCTGCCCGCCTTGGCATCCCAGAGTGCTGGGATCACAGGAGTGAAGCACCACACCCAGCCTCATCTTCTGATTTTTAAACGTTAAGTCTAATTTCTTAAAGGCTCATAGGGACCACACAAACCATGTCTATGGACTGAATCTAGCTCATCGGATGCTAAAGTGTGGTCTGGGGAAATCCCAGTGGATCTCTTAAGACCTTTTCAAGGGATCTGTGGCTCAAAACTATTTTCATAATAATAATAAAGCTATTTTCATTACTTCTCTTCAGAGTACGATAGGTTTTCCCTGGGGCTAGTAGACATACTAACCATGATCTGAAAAGGATATTCAAATACTCCTTTCTTTTCTAACTACATATCTATGTAAGGTCAGACTTTTAGAACATAGTTCAACCAAAAAAGCAAATTGCAAAGATGAAACATGGAAAAAGATGCAAGAATCTAGTTTCTCCTTTTAAGCCCAATATTCAAGGATTTTGCAAAAATTTAAAATAATGCCATTCTTCCCAGTAAATATTTTTTGTTTTGGAAAATAGTTACTTTTTTTTTTTTTTGAGATGGAGTCTCACTCTGTCGCCCAGGCTGGAGTGCAATGGTGTAATCTCGGCTCACTGCAAGCTCCGCCTCCCGGGTTCAAGCGATTCTCCTGCCTCAGCCTCCCAAGTAGCTGGGATTACAGGCACACGCCACCATGCCCGGCTAATGTTTTGTATTTTTAGTAGAGACGGGGTTTTGCCATGCTGGGCAGGCTGGTCTTGAACTCCTGACCTCAGGTGATCTGCCCATCTCGACCTCCCAAAGTGCTGGGATTACAGGCATGAGCCACCCCGCCCTGGCCAGAAAATAGCTACTTTTTATCAAAAGCATGCTACTTATGTTACATGCAATTGGCTTATTATTTTATTTTTTGAGACAGGGTCTTACTGCCACTGCCCAGGCTGGAGTGCAGTAGCCAGACCTTGGCTCACTGCAGCTTCGACTTCCCACCTAAGGTGATCCTCCCACCTCAACCTCCTGAGTAGCTGGGATTACAGGTGTGTGCTACCATGCCCAGCTAAATTTTGTATTTTGGGTAGAGACGGGGTTTTACCAGGCTGGTCTCCAACTCCTTGGCTCAAGTGATCCTCCTGCCTCAGCCTTCTAAAGTGCTGGGATTACAGGAGTGAGCCACCATGCCCGGCCTCGGTTCTTATTTTAAGATGGATTCGTATCTCACAATTTTTCAGTCTTAATTCTAATGTGGTAAATATAGAATAAACAAAAGCTCTTTGGGGATCCTCAATAATTTTTAGGAGTTTAAAGGGGTCCCTGAGACCAAACATTTTGGGAGGCATTAATCTTTTCTTTCTTCCTTTTTTTTAAGAGATAGGGTTTTTTGCTCTATCGCCCAGCTGGAGTGCAGTGGTGTGACATAGCTCCCTGCAGCCTGGAACTCCTGGGCTCAAGAGATCATCCTGCCTCAGCCTCCCAAGTAGTTAAGACCACTGGTGCAAAACACCAGGCTTGGCAAAAAACAAACAAACAAACAAAAACTTCATTATTTTTTTGAGATGGAGTCTTGCTCTGTCACCCAGGCTGGAATGCAGTAGCACGATCTCAGCTCACTGCAGCCTCCTCCTCTCGGGTTCAAGGAATTCTCACGCCCCAGCCTCCCAAGTAGCTGGGACTACAGGCACACACCACTACCCGCAGCTAATTTATGTATTTTTAGTAGAAACGGGGTTTCACCATTTTGGCCAGGCTGGTCTTAAACCCCTGACCTCAGGTGATCTGGCTGCCGTGGCCTCCCAAAGTGCTGGGATTACAGGCATGAGCCACTGTGCCTGGCCCTACTCTTTTCTGCATGCTCTGCTTGGAGAACCGTGTGGTGGCTTTGGAGACTTTGTCGCAGCTTAGAGGAGAACAGGGTGATTGCTGGTGATCAGCCACCTGGCCCACCAGCTTTGCCCCTCTCTGCCCCGAGATAACATGAGCTAATGTCAAGAAGTGGAGCAAAGGCCAGGGACACAGGGAGGACCCAGCCGGCCCCACGGTCGCCTCACCGCTCCTTCCGCAGCAGCTCCTGGCTGATGAGAACCAGCTGGCCCGAGGCATCGTGAGTCTTCCGGGACACCGTCTCCAGCTCCGCCTCCAGGCGCCGCTTCTCCTTCAGGAGGGCCTCCACTTTCTTCTCGCCCGACTTACACTTGCTCTCCAGTGCTGGGGTCAGCCGGCAGGGAAGGGAGGAAGAGGATTGGGAACACGTGAGCTTCTGTCCCATCCAAGGGCAAAGCCCTGGGCAGGATGTCGATTCTCCCAGGGGATGAAGGTAACATATGCCACTGCATAGTTTTGAGGGTTTTTTTTTTTTAGAGATAGGGTCTTGCTCTGTCACCCAGACTGGAGTGCAGTGGCACAATCATAGCTCATTGCAGCCTCCAACTCCTGGGCTCAAGCCATCCTCCTGCCTCAGCCTCCTGAGTAGCTAGGACCACAGGAGTGCACCACCATACCTGGCAGAGTTTTTTTTTGGAGATAAAGTCTCACTCTTTTACCCAGGCTGGAATGCAGTGGTGCAATCTTGGCTCACTACAACTTCCTCCTCCTGGGTTCAAGCAATTCTCCTGCCTCAACCTCCCAAGTAGCTGGGACTAGAGCCATACGCCACCACACTTGGTTAATTTTTGTGTATTTATTAGAGATGGAGTTTCGCCATGTTGGCCAGGCTGGTCTTGAACTCCTGAGCTCAAACAATCCACTGGACTCAGCCTCCCAAAGTGCTGGGATTACAGATGTGAGCCATGATGCCCGGTCAAATTTTTTTTTTTTGAGATGGAATCTTGCTGTTGTTGGCCCAGAAGTGCAATGGCACCATCTCGGCTCACTGCAACCTCTGCCTCCCGGGTTCCAGCAATTATCCTGCCTCAGCCTCCCAAGTAGCTAAGATTGCAGGCACCCACTACCACGCCTGGCTAATTTTTTTTTTTCTGACGGAGTCTCATTCTGCCACCAGGCTGGCATGCAGTGGCACAATCTCTACTTACTGCAACCCCTACCTCCCGGATTCAAGTGACTCTCCTGCCTCAGCCTCCTGAGTAGCTGGGATTATAGGCATGCACCACCATGCTCAGCTAATTTTTTTGGTATTTTTAGTAGAGATGGGGTTTCACCATGTTGGCCAGGCTGGTCTCGAATTCCTGACCTCAGGTGATCCACCCGCCTCGGCCTCCCAAAGTGCTGGGATTATAGACCTGAGCCACCGTGCCCAGGCCCGGCCAAAATTTGTATGTTTTGTAGAAATGAGGCCTCACCATGTTTCATAGGCTGGTCTCGAACCCCTGGCCTCAAGCAATCCTCCCTCCTCGGCCTCCCAAAGTGCTGGGATTACAGGCATGAGCACTGCACATGGCCTCCATTGCATAATTTTAAAAGCACCATTGGTCTCAATTGTCCTTACAAGGCAGGTGGCAAGGGACCTGAGAGAACGGGTACAATAAACAGATCAGTCCTCACCAAGCACAGCAGCCGCTTGGGCTCCTGGTGTGGGGAGCGGGACGACACGTGTGTGTTTACGCTGTCGCCTGGATGAGGAAAAGCTTCACCTTCACCGTGACCTTGGAGGAGTCTGAGGTCCACTGACCTTTTTTGGAACCAATTCTTCCTTGTACTGGGGGATGGACAGAAGTGAGGGTGGCAACCATTTCCGAGAAGGGGGGCTGTTTCATGCCCACCACCACTGGCGTTCTGGTGAACAAGAAGCAGGGCCATGGGCTGGGCGTGGTGGCTCATGCCTGTAATCCCAGCACTTTGGGAGGGCGAGGTGGGCGGATCACGAGGTCAGGAGATCGAGAGCATCCTGGCTAACACAGTGAAATCCCATCTCTACCAAAAATACAAAAAAATTAGCCAGGCATGGTGGCGGGCGCCTGTAGTCCCAGCTACTCAGGAGGCTGAGGCAGGAGCATGGCACGAACCTGGGAGGCAGAGCTTGCAGTGAGCCTAGATTGCGCCCTGCACTCCAGCCTGGGCGACAGAGCGAGACTCCGTCTCAAAAACAAAAACAAAAAAACAAAAATTAGCCGGGCATGGTGCTGCGTGCCTGTAACCCCAGCTACTCAGGAGGCTGAGGCAGGAGAATCGCTTGAACCCGGGAAGTGGAGGTTTCAGTGAACTGAGATGCACCACTGCACTCCAGCCTGGGTGACAGAGTGTGACCCTGTCTCAAAAACAAAAACAAAAAAAGAGAGAGAGAGAAACCAGAAAGTCTTCAGGATCAGAAAGAGGGAACCCGGGGTAGAATTCCAGGGTGCAGAGAACACAGAGCGGGCTCTGGGGACAGAATCTGGCGGGGAGGCATTATAGGATGGACTGTGTGTGGGCTACTCACTGCTCCCCAGGTACATGTCTGTCTGGTGCAGGTGACCTGGCCCTAGCCCTTTTCTTTCTTTCTTTCTGCTCCTCTCCTCTCCTTTCTCCTCTCCTCTCCTCTCCTTCCTCCCTCCCTCCCTCCCTCCCTTCCTCCCTTCCTTCCTTCTTTCCAAAGGAGTCTCGCTCTATTGCCCAGGCTGGAGTGCAGTGGCACCATCTCGGCTCACTGGGAGCTCCGCCTCCCAGGTTCAAGCGAATCTCCTGCCTCAGCCTCCCGAGTAGCTGGGATTACAGGTGTGAGCCACCACACCCGGCTAATCTTTGTATTTTTAGTAGAGACAGGGTTTCACCATGTTGGCCAGGCTGGTCTTGAACTCCTGACCTCAGGTGATCTACCCGCCTCAGCCTCCCAAAGTGCTGGGATTACAGGCATGAGCCACCGCGCCCGGCCAGCCCTTTTCTTCTCAAAGCAGAGTCGGGGAGGGGACCCTGAGCCAGGCACTGACCCACTCCACGCTCAATTGGCAACTGAAGTGGCACGGCCCCAGTGAAAGCCCCCCGCATCTGCCCTGCGGGAGGGAGACTTACCACTTACTTGGGCCCTGAGCATCTCTGTCTGGGAGGTCAAGGCTGTCACCTCTTTGTCCCTCTTGTTCAGCTTGTCCTGCAGGCCTAGGGGAGAGAGGAGAGACGAGAAGCATCAATGATCCTGGACCAAAGCAGCAGTGGGTAGGGCTGTGGCTCTCCCATAGGAGCTCTGTGACGGGGTCACACTTGGCCTCCAGGGTCCAAGTTCTTCCTCACTGCAGCCGTCTCGCTGCGTAACCCGCCCTGGAGAAGAGGACCTGACACTGGCCGGGCATGGTGGCTCATGCCTGTAATCCCAGCATTTTGGGAGGCTGAGGCCGGCGGATCACCTGAGGTCAGGGGTTCAAGACCAACATGGTAAAACCGCGTCTCTACTAAAAATACAGAAATTAGCTGGGCGTGGTGGCAGGTGCCAGTAATACCAGCTATTAGGGAGGCTGAGGCAGGAGAATCGTTTGAATCCGGGAGGCAGAGGCTGCGGTGAGCTGAGATAGCGCCACTGCACTCTAGCCTGGACAGAGCAAGACTTGGTCTCAAAAAGAAAAAAAAAAAAAAGGCCAGGCATGGTGGCTCACGTCTGTAATCCCAGCACTTTGGGAGGCTGAGATCACCTGAGGTTGGGAGTTCAAGACCAGCCTGACCAACATGGAGAAACCTCATCTCTACTAAAAATACAAAATTAGCCGGGCGTGGTGGTGCATGCCTGTAATCCCAGCTACTTGGGAGGCTGGGGCAGGAGAATCGCTTGAACTTGGGAGGCAGAGGTTGCGGTGAGCAGAGATCGCACCATTGCACTCCAGCCTGGACAACAAGAGTGAAACTCTGTCTCAAAAAAAAAAAAAAAAAAGAAGAAGAGGACCCGACACTATGGTCTTAGATAACCTGTCACAGCCTTAGTCCCCTCAAGTGAAAAACAGGGAGAACAATAACAGTGTCCTAGGTCACCAGTCATGTGTATTCAAGCCTGGGTGCTCCTCACAGCCATAAAGGACAGAATGGATGCCAAGTACCTGGAAACATCTCTACCTTCTGCAAGTTAATTTATAAAGGGAATGTAATACCACTAAAAATACCAACACGATTTTAACTTTTTTTTTTTTTTTTTTTTTTTGAGACAGGTTCTCATTCTGTTGCTCAGGCTGGAGTGGAGTGATGCAATCATAGCTCACTGTAGCCTCAACCCCCTGGGTTCAAGTGATCCTCCTGCCTCAGCCTCCCGAGTAGCTGGGACCACAGGCACGTGCCACCACATCTGGCTAATTTTTTATTTTTATGTTTTTATTTTTTATTTTTTTGGAGACAGAGTCTCACTCTCTCACCCAGGCTGGAGTGCAGTGACGCCATCTCAGCTCACTGCAACCTCCACCACTCAGGTTCAAGAAATTTTCCTGCCTTAGCCTCCTGAGTAGCTGGGATTACAGGCATGCATCACCACACCCAGCTAACTTTTTTTTTTTTTTTTTTTTTTTTTTTGTATTTTTAGTAGAGACAGGGTTTCACCATGTCCTCCAGGCTGGATATGAACTTTTGACCTCAAGTGATCTGCCCACCTCTGCCTCCCAAAGTGCTGGGATTATAGGCGTGAGTCACTGTGCCCAGCCTAATTGTTTATTTTTTGAAGAGACAAGGTCTCATTATGTTTCCCAGGCTGGTGTTGAACTCCTAGGCTCAAGTGATCCTCCTGCCTCGGCCTCCTAAAGTCCTGGGATTACAGTGTGAGCCACTGCACCCAGCCTGATTTTAAATTTTGGTGGAACTAGATGTGCCGATTCTAAGTAACTTGTTAAAATGAGCAAGAACACCCAAAACAGTTTGGCAGTTTCTCAAAAATTTAAACATGGAATTACCATATGAGGCCAGGTGGATTGCTTGAGGTCAGGAGTTCCAGACCAGTCTGGCCAACATGGTGAAACCCCATCTCTACTAAAAATACAAAAATTAGCCAGGCGTGGTGGCACGCACCTGTAATCCCAGCTACTCAGGAGATTGAGGCAGAAGAATTGCTTGAACCTGGGAGGCGGAGGCTGCAGTGAGCTGAGATTGCACCACTGCACTCCAGCCTGGGTGACAAAGTGAGACTCCGTCTCAAGAAAAAAAAATAAATCTCATATGACCTAGCATTCTACTCTCCTAGGTATATACCCCAAAGCACTGAAAACAGGCACTTAACAAGTACATGCACACCTATGTTCTTAGCAGCATTGTTCACAACAGCTAAAGGGTAGAAACAACCCAAATGCCCATCAACTGAGGAATGGATCAACAAAATGTGGTATGTCCATACAATGGAATATTATTTGGTCACGAAAAAGAATGAGGTTCTTTTTCGTTTTGTTTTGTTTTGTCATTGTTGTTGGTTTGTTGTTGTTGTTGTTGTTTTTTGAGATAGAGTTTCACTCTTGTTGCCGAGGCTGGAGTACAGTGGCACGATCTTGGCTCACCGCAACCTCCGTCTCCCAGGTTCAAGAGATCCTCCTGCCTCAGCCTCCCTAGTAGCTGGGATTACAGGCAGGAGCCACCACGTCCGGCTAATTTTGTATTTTTAGTAGAGACGGGGTTTCTCCATGTTGGTCAGGCTGGTCTCAAACTCCTGACCCCAGGTAATCCACCCGCCTTGGCCTCCCAAAGTGCTGGAATTATAGGTGTGAGTCACTGCACCTGGCATTGTTGTTGTTTTTTGAGATGGAGTCTCACTCTGTCACCCAGGCAGGAGTGCAGTGGTGCGATTTCGGCTCACTGCAACCTCTGCCTCCCAGGTTCAAGTGATTCTCTCTCTCTCAGCCTCCTGCGTAGCTGGGACTACAGGTGCACACCACCATGCCCAGCTAGTTTTTGTATTTTTAGTAGAGACGGGGTTTCACGATGTTGACCGGGCTGGTCTCAAACTCCTGACATGAAATGTTCCAAATAGATACATCCACAGAGATAGAAAGTAAATTAGTGGTTGGGGAGATGGGTTGGGGAGAGAGTAGGATGGAGAAGCACTGCTAATGGGTGTGGGTTCTCCTTTTGGGGTGATGAGAATGTTTGTTTTTTCTTTATTTCTTTTTCTTTTCTTTTGTAGAGATGGGGTTTCTCCATGTTGTCCAGGCTGGTCTTGAACTCCTGACTTCAAGCAATTCTCCTGCCCGGGCCTCCCAAAGTGCTGGGATTACAGGTGTGAGCCACTGCATCCAGGCCATGAGAATGTTTTGGAAACCAGATAGAAGTGCTGGGTGTACCACATTGTTGACTGCGCTAAATGCCATTGAACTGTTTGCTTTAAAATGGCTGATTGTATGCAATGTTCATTTTTTCATTTGTTAATTTTATAACAAACCTGCACATGTCTATTTTATGTTAATTTCAGCTTAATTTTTAAACAATAGCCAAGAGAATTTTGATAAAGCAGAGAAGAACAAGCCATGCCAGAAATTACAACACAGACAAAGCTTGACTAATTAAAACATTATAGAATTGGCACATAAAGAGAATAACAAGTCATTGGAATGGAATAAAAGTCCAGAAATAGAGTCAATTACATAAGTGAATTTAAAGACGATAAGGTTAGTAATTCCAATCAGTGAGGATTAGGGGGAGAAAATGACCATTTTCAAAAATAGTATTGGGATAAGTAGGTATTTCTTTGGGAAAAAATAAAAATGCATCCTTATCTCACACCTTATATAAGGATGAATTATAGATGGATCAGAGATTGCAGCATAGAAAATAGGACAAAAAAGTACCAGAATAAAGCACTGGATACATTTTTAAAACTAAAAAAGTATTGATTTTTTTTTTTTTTTTTTGGTGACAGAGTCTCACTCTGTCGCTCAGGCTGGAGTGCAGTAGCATGATCATAGCTCACTGCAGCCTCCACTTCCTGGGCTCAAGCGATCCTCCCGCCTCACTTTCCCAAGTACCTGGGACTATAGCTGCATGCCACCATACCTGGCTAATATTTTTGGGGGGTATTTTTTGTAGAGACAGAGTCTCACTATGTTGCCCAGGCTGGTCTTGAACTCCTGGGTTCAAGCAATTCTCCTACCTCAGCCTCCCAAAGTGCTGGGATTACAAGTGTTAGCCACCGTACCTGGCCTGATATTTAAAATATCTGCACGGCCAACACCACCATAACAAAAAAGTCAAAAAGCAAACGACAAAGCAGGGGAATGTTTGCAATATCATACATAAAGAGCTTCTAAAAATCAGCAAAAAGATCAATAACCCAATCAGAAAAAATGGTCAAAAGACACAAATAGAAATGCAAAGTCAGGTGTGGTGGTTCATGCCTGTAATCCCAGCACTTCGGGAGGCCGAGGCAGGCAGATCATGAGGTCAAGAGTATGAGACCAGCCTGGCCAACATAGTGAAATTCTGTCTCTACTGAAAAAAAAAAAAAAGTTAGCTGGGCGTGGTGGCACATGCCTGTAGTCCCAGCTACTTGGGAGGCTGAGGCAGGAGAATCACTTGAACCTGGGAGGTGGAGGCTGTGGTGAGTGGAGATCGCGTCGCTGCACTCCAGCCTGGGCAACAGAGTGAGACTCCATCTTAAAAAAAAATGCAAATAGAAATACCTCTTAACTTCATCCATGTAAGAGAAAGGTGAGTTGAAGTTACATCAGATAACACCTTTTACGTTGCAGATTGGCAAAGATTACAAAATCTGATCAAACGTTTTGTTGATGGAGTTTGAGGGGAAACAGGCTTTCAACCACAGCTGGAGGGAGTTAAAATTGGTTGAGCCCAATGGAAGTCAAAGTAATTTACTACAGTGGTGTTTGTAATTGACCAAGGCTGGAAACAATCTACCATCTTTGTAATTGACCAAGACTGGAAACAATCTGTGATTGTTACCGGAAACCAGCTAAATACACAATGGTACCTCCACACAATGGAATATTCTGTACCCTGTAAAAGAATGTACTACTGATAAGGAACCCTCTCCAAGATACATTGTTAAACGGAATAAATCAAGGAGCTGAAAGAATGGAAGGTATGGTACCATTTGTGTCACTTGGTTGCTCGTACCTGCATAAAATATTTCTGGAAAGGGGATATAAAGAAGCTAACACTGCACCTTCAGGGAGGGAAGAATAGAGAACAGATAATACTTTGCCATATGCCCTTTGAACCATTTGAAGTTTAGACTTGTTTTTAAAGTTTAAACTGGCTGGGCATGGTGGCTCATGCCTGTAATCCCAGCACTTTGGGAGGCCAAGGTGGGCAGATCATGAGGTCAGGAGATCGAGACCACCCTGGCCAACATGGTGAAACCCTGTCTCTACTAAAAATACAAAAATTAGATGGGTATGGTGGCGCACGCCTGTAATCCCAGCTACTCGGGAGGCTGAGGCAGGAGAATCGCTTGAACCAGGTAGTTGGAGGTTGCAGTGAACTGAGATTGCACCACTGTACTCCAGCCTGGCGACAGAGTGAGACTCCATCTAAAATAAATAAATAAATAGATAAAGTGTAAACTAACTAAATAAATAAAAATAAAGTATAAATCAAACAAATAATAAGATTTGATATTCCATTAAGGTTAATATTCCATTAAATGTTTAAAAAGAACAAAAACAAAAGACAGCAACTTGGGAGGCTGGTGTAATGCCTATCCCTGTGTAAACTGGCCTCCTCCCTTGCAGGAGTACATAGCTCACTGCACACAGGAGTTGACTCTTACCAAATGGCAGATGATGCAAACCAAAATGTGACCCAGCAGGAAGGCAGAGCCCACCAGCCTCTTCCCAGAGCCCAGAGTCCCGCCCGGCCCGGCGGCCACTCACCCTCCACAGTTTCCTTCGTCCTGATCGTCTCCTCTGAAATGTCATTCGACTCAATCATCTGCAAAAAGAGCCCCTGTAAGGGGGATGCTCGCCTCTGCCCCTTGGCCCCAGCCCCAGCCAGTACAGCAAGCACACCTGCAGTTTGCACGCCCTACCCCTACAAAAGGGGACCTCAGTGACGGACTCAGGGACTTGCTGCGGTGGCAGGGAGTGCAGACGTCCTCAGTCTGACCTCCCTGACAACAGAGGACCCCCATTCTGCACTCAGCTCCGCTGAAGGCTGCTCGTGCAGCTTAGACATGAATACCTCCTACCCTTGCTTTGTTGAAAATGTTTATTATATTAAACAGATGGCTCCTTCCCTGCGACGCCTACAGAAATTTGTCCTGGGAATTCGTTTCTCTGTCTCCGAGAGACAAGACTTCTGGACTCAGTTTCCCATCCATCAAACAAACATTGGCTGCTTTGGGTTAGTGTGTGCATAGTGTGCTTGGGGCCACCTCCTGGAGGGACTTCATTAAATGCTAGCTTCTTTCTCTCCAACATTTCTTTTCAATAATAAACTCAGAGGCCAAAGGAGAAAAGACCGATTAGAAAAAAAAATCAGCCTGGCACACATCACTATGACAAAAGTCAAAACACAACCAATAGGCTCCCTGCCACTCTTGGCAGGAGTTTCCAGTCTCCTGCCCAGGCTGGCTGTCCTCTGAGCCAGCCAGAGTCTGGCACTGCAGATCAGGGCAGCACAGAGCTGAGTAGGCAGTCATCTCCATCATCCTGCCCCTCATACTTCTGTTCATACATCCCAAGTCCCATTTGAGTCTCAATTAGTTGTAATGAACTAAGCCCCTTGGATCATAATTTACATAAAATGCAGTAATAAGGCACACACTAAATTTTTTTTTTTTTTTTTTTTTTTGAGACAGAGTCTCGCCCTGATGTCCAGGCTAGAGTGCAGTGGCTCAATCTCGGCTCACTGCAACCTCCACTTCCCAGGTTCAAGCGATTCTCCTGCCTCAGCCTCCCGAGTAGCTGGGATTACAGGCGCCCGCCACCACGCCCAGCTAATTTTTGTGGTTTTTTAAAATTTTATTATTTTTTTTGAGACGGAGTCTCACTCCGTCGCCCAGGCTGGAGTGCAGTGGTGTGATCTTGGCTCACTGCAACTTCTGCCTCCTGGATTCTGAAGCGATTCTCCTGCCTCAGCCTCCTGAGTAGCTGGGACTACAGGCACCTGCCACCACGCCTGGCTAACTTTTTGTATTTTTAGTAGAGACGGGGTTTCACTATGTTGGCCAGGTTGGTGTCAAACTCCTGACCTCATGATCTGCCCGCCTCGGCCTCCCAAAGTGCTGGGATTACAGGCGTGAGCCACTGTGCCCGGCCACTAAAATAATTTTTTAAATTCCCATATTTACTACATGAGACCAAAAATCCAGTTGTCCTTAGACCTAAACCTCTGAACGTGGGGACGTATGCATTTAGACTGAAGCCCCGGTGTGTATAGAAAATCAACAGATGGGTTTTCCTTTTTTCCAGACGGAGTCTCCCTCTGTCGCCCAGGCTGGAGTGCAGCGGCACGATCTCGGCTCACTGCAAGCTCCACCTCCTGGGTTCAAGCCATCCTGGTGCCCCAGCCTCCCGAGTAGCTGGGATTACAGGTGTGAGCCACCGCGCCTGGCCAATAGATGGGCTTTCTGAGGTCACTACTACTCCTTGGCCCAAGGGCACCTGTGAGTGAAGGGCAGTGACTGGGGGAGGTGTCCTCAGGCCTCTGTCCCCCATGCTCTGTGGAATCACAGCAGCCTCAAACCTCCCTGCTCAGGGAATTCAGTTCCTGAGTTGCAGGCTGTGTCTGCCTGCCCTGAGCAGCTAATCAGGCCATGTGCACACAAGCTAATTTGGGTTTCTTCCTTTCCTTTCAGCCCAGGATCCTGGGAGAGCAATTGCTTTAACAAAAAAAAAAAAAAAAAACCCTCCCTGGGAGAAGGGGCAGGAAGGCTGTTGCAATGGACCTCAAGGCATGATGCAGAAAGATTTCCTTTTAGACAAAAAGCACCCTGGAATCTGAAGTCCTGAGAACTTATTGCCCACATGCTACATTCTGGGTTTCGTTTTGTTTTGTTTTGTTTTGTTTTGTTTGAGACGGAGTCTCGCTCTGTCGCCCAGGCTGGAGTGCAGTGGCCGGATCTCAGCTCACTGCAAGCTCCGCTTCCCGGGTTTACACCATTCTCCTGCCTCAGCCTCCCAAGTAGCTGGGACTACAGGCGCCCGCCACCTCGCCCGGCTAATTTTTTTTTTGTATTTTTTCAGTAGAGACTGGGTTTCACCGTGTTAGCCAGGATGGTCTCGATCTCCTGACCTCGTGATCCCCCCGTCTTGGCCTCCCAAAGTGCTGGGATTACAGGCTTGAGCCACCGCGCCCGGCTGGAGTGTAGTGGTACAATCATAGCTCACTGCAGCCTCAAACCCCTAGGCTCAAGTGATCCTCTTGCCTCAGCCTCCAGTGTAGCTGGGGACTACAGGTACACTACCACTGTACTTGGCTAATTTTTTATTTTTGTAGAGATGGGGTCTAACTATGTTTTCCAGGCTGGTCTCAAACTCCTGGCCTGAAGCAATCCTCCTGCCTCAGCCTCTCGAAATGCTGGGATTATAGGTGTGAGCCACCACACCCAGCCCTAAATTCTGGTTTGAATATACAGGTGCAGTACCTCCTCCGTGTAATCCCAGCACTTTGGGAGGCAAAGCGGGCAGATGGCTTGAGCCTAGGAGTTCGAGACCAGCCTGGGCAACATGGTGAAACCCCATCTCTACAAAAACTATAAAAATTAGCCAGGTATGGTGGGGCACACCTGTGGTCCCAGTGACTTGGGAGGCTGAAGTGGGAGGCCTGTTCAAACCTGGGAGGCTGAGACTGCAGTGAGCCATGATCATGCCACTGCAGTGCAGCCTGGGAGACAGAGCAAGACCCTGTCTCAAAAACAAAACCAAAAAAAGCCAGGGATGGTGGCTCACGCCTGTAATCCCAGCACTTTGGGAGGCTGAGGAGGGTGGATCACCCGAAGTCAGGAGTTTGAGACCAACCTGGACTACATGGCAAAACCCCACCTCTACTAAAAATATAAAAATTAGCTGGGCGTGGTGGTGCACACCTGTAATTGCAGCTACTTGGGAGGCTGAGACAGGAGAATTGCTTGAACCTGGGAGGCGGAGGTTGCAGCGAGCCGAGATCACACCACTGCACTCCAGCCTGGGCCACAAGAGTGAAACTCCATCTCAAAAATAAAAATAAAAATAAAAATAATGTATGTGGGGGAACTGGAAACTCAACAATCCCTGAGTACAATTTGCATACAGGCAAGAGTCCGCTGCTAGCCATCCCTCCTATGAATTCATTCCTGTCGTCTTGGGTACCCTCTGTCAGCCCCACAGGCAGTGGGGTTGGAGATCTCTGCCACCGAGAGGCTGGGGATCTGGGAAAGTCTTGGTTTGCTCACCTGTGAAATGCAGCCAGTATCAATCTAAGGGTGTTAAGGTGAAATGGAGTCACACACGGCCTGCACAAGATGTGGTACCCAGGCCCGGCACGGTGGCCCACACCTGTAATCCCAGCACTTTGGGAGGCCGAGGCGGGCGGATCACAAGGTCAGGAGATAGAGACCATGGTGAAACCCCGTCTCTACTAAAAAATAGAAAAAAATTAGCCGGGCGCAGTGGTGGGCGCCTGTAGTCCCAGCTACTGGGGAGGCTGAGGCAGGAGAATGGCGTGAACCCGGGAGGCGGAGCTTGCAGTGAGCCGAGATCGCGCCATTGCACTCCAGCCTGGGCAACAGAGCGAGACTCTGTCTCAAAAAAAAAAAAAAAAAAAAAGATGTAGTACCCAGAGCCACTCAAAAGGCCCTTCCTGGCCCTGGTGGAATGGGCACAGCCCACCTGGGTGTTGACCTCCTCAGAGGGGCTGGGAGGATGGGTTCGGCTGAAGGAAGAAGGGGCAGGTGCTTAAGAAATTTCTAGATTTGGAGCAAAATTGACATTGGTGGCAGCGACCTCTTTAGGGCCACCCCCTCTAGCCTTCCAGACCCCACTCTGGGAACTCCCACATTCTGGGGAAGTACTTGTTGGCACCGTTGCTAAAGTCTCGTTAGGACTGGCAGAAACGGGGCTGCCACTGGTTCCCCAGGTGAGCTTCTGAGTTGGAGATGGGGGGGATGGGCAGAGTTTCCCTTCAGGTCTGTGCCAGCCCCAGGGCACAGGGTCTGAGGTCCCAGGTCCCAGGAGCCCTGCACCCTAAGACATGTGTGGGTAAATCAAAGCCTGTTCTGTGCACCGAGGTCCCATCGCTCCAGGCCTGCTCTGTGGGGGGGACGCAGCCAGGTCAGCTCAGACCAGCTTCGGTTCTCCCTGGTCACCGGGGCATGTTGCCCCTTTAACAGAGGGCCAAGGAGCTCCTTGGCCAGGTGACCCCTTCCTTGACTGCCCCAGGCATGCTCTCAGGGACAAGGGAAATGGCTTCCTGGGCTATATAACAGAAGTCAGCAAACGCCCAAGCCCTCCCCAGCCCGATCCTCCCACCCCAGCAGGACAGGCAGGTGCCTACGTGGGTGTGCTGGGAGGAGCACAGGGCCTCCACAGCCTGGAGTCTGTTCTCAGCCACCAGGAGCTTCTCCCGCAACCTCTCGGCCTCCTGTTTGCTCTGGGCTTCTGCCCGCTGCAGCCTCTCGTAGTCCAGCATCTTCTTCTCGGCCAGCGAGATCTGCTCCTTGAGGAACTCGATGGCCTGCGCCTGGCCCCGGTACTCCACGTCCAGCTTTTCCAGCTCGTGCACGCGCAGCTCGGCATCCCGGCGCTGGTCCTGGGCCTCCTGCAGCTCCAACCGGTGCTGGCTGGCTTGCACCTCCAGCTGGGCCCGCCAGTGCCGCTGCAGCCCGGCCAGCTCCTCCTGGGCCTCCTGCAGCTTCTCCCGCAGGGCCTCCTTCTCCTTCACGTGCACGGCGGTCTCCAGGTCATGCTTGGCCTGCAAGTTACCCAGCTCCAGCTGGTGCTCCATCTTGATGCCCTCCATCACCGCCTTCAGCTCGCCAATCTCCTTCTGCTGGGCGCCTGGGCCCGAGTTCAGGGTGGCTTTGAGGTCCTCCAGGGACTTCTGGTGGTCCGAGGCCAGCGAGTCCAGTTTGGATTTCCAGTTGTCCATGAGCCCCATGTTCTCGCTGGTGGCCTGCTGAACCTTGTCCTTCAGGCCTGCCACCTCTTGTGCGTACTTTTCGTTGGCCGCGCGGAGCTTGTCCACCTCCGCCTGGTAGGCCTTCAGGGCCTTCTCGTATTTATCCCGCAACACCCCGCTCTCCCTCTGGTGCTCCTTGCTGGCCGAGAGCAGGCGCTCCCGCAGCCGCAGGGTCTCGGCCGCGTCGGGGTGGTCTGGGGGCGGGGGGCCCGAGTGCAACAGGCACTGCTGGAGCTCCTCGATCTCACCGCGGCGCAGGGTGAGCTCCTCCTCCAGCTGCAGCACCCGCGACTTCTCCGCCACTGTGGTCAGCTGCGGGGAGAGAGGGAGGCAGGGATCAGCGGGCTGGCTGGCTGGCTGGAAGGTGAGGAGGGCACAATGGTGGGGGTCGGGGGGCCACCACTAGAGGACACCAGCCCCAGCAGGTGGTCATGGGATGGGAAAGGCCCCCACTCCCTCCTGAGTATGGGCTGGACATAGGGGCCCTGCCCATCACAGCATCCAGAAAGATTCCCCTGGCTGTACCCCAAAGATTCAGAGCCAGCTGTCGCCACTCCTCTACCTAGGTGGCTTGGACAAATTGGTGGTTAAAAGAAACCACCTATTTGAGGTTACAGCTTTTTTTTTTTTTTTGAGTCTCGCTCTGTCACGCAGGCTGGAGTGCAGTGGCGTGATCTCAGCTCACTGTAACCTCCACTTCCCAGGTTCAAGCGATTCTCCTGCCTCAGCCTCCCAAGTAGCTGGGACTACAGGCACTCACCACCATGTGCCTGGGGAATTTTTGTATTTTTTTGGTATAGACGGCGTGTCACCCTTTTGCCTACGCTGGTCTCAAACTCCTAGCCTCAAGTGATCCACCTGCCTTGGCCTCCCAAAGTGTTGGGATGATAGGCGTGAGCCACAGCGCCCAGCCTTTTTTTCTTTTTTTTTTTTTTTTAAAGAGACAGGGGTCTAGCTATGATGTTGCCCAAGCTGGAGTGCAGCCGCACAATAATAGCTCACTGCACCCTCAAATTCCTGGGCTCAAGCAATCTTCCTGCCTCAGCCTCAAGAGCAGCTGGGACTCTATGGGCATGAGCCACCACGCCCAACTGAGTTAGTGCTTTGTATTTTTATTAAGAAATTTTGTTGTTGTTGTTAACATTCTTTTTGAAGAGCAGAGGCCAAAGTGAATTTCGTATTATCCTGCCTTAGGAAGGTCCCCAGCCAGGGGGCTGGCTGGAGGCAGTGGCCAAGAAGGGTCCAGTTTAATGCTTAAAGCAGAACAGAGTGCTCCCAGACCCATCTTTCAGCAAAAAACTCTTAGAGGCTCCATTCTCCAAAAAACCACCTTGATCACATTGATGGTCATAGATACGAAAATGAGATATTTGCAAGCTTTAAATCTATTACAAGCTTTAAACATTTTATTTCTGAAGGTATCCTTTAGTTCAATAAACCTATTTTTGTTTTGTTTTTTGGTTTTTGTTTTTTTTGAGATGGAGTCTCACTCTCTTGCCCAGGCTAGAGTGCAGTGGCGCGATCTCGGCTCACTGCAACCTCCACCTCCCCGGTTCAAATGATTCTGCTGTTTCAGCCTCTTAAGTAGCTGGGACTACAGGTGTGCACCACCCCGCCCAGTTAATTTTTGTATTTTTAATAGAAATGGGGTTTCACCATGTTGGTCAGGCTGGTCTGGAACTCCTGACCTCAGATGACCTCGGGTGATTCACCCACTTTGGCCTCCCAAAGCGCTGGGATTACAGGTGTGAGCCACCACGCCCAGCCCTGTTTTTGTGTTTTCATCAGATTGAACCCTAGTTCAAGATGCATTTGGAGGGCTCCTGCCCATCCACAGTGACTGGGTCAGTTTGTGCGTTCAGTCTTCATGCACATGAGTGTGTACCGTACAAGCACATGGTCACTGAGCAATGGTCAGTGTGTGCAAATGGACCCTGTGTGTCTCCGGACACCTGCACACATGCAAACAACCACTTGTGCACTGAGGCCAACATGCAGAAACTGACCACTGCTCCTTCCATGCTACATAGTGTTTACCAGGTGCTTTTCCAGTAATCACTTGCTGCCTGTTTTAGCTTCCTCTCAGGGGGACTGCTTGGGGGCCGGCCGGCTGTTCGGATGTGAATGCCTGCAGAGTGCCGGGTCCCAGGCGTGCATGGTAAGCCTGGAGGGGACTGCGGGGCCTGGAGCAGGGACTCAGAATCATGCCCCAGGACTCTGGAAGCCTCACCCACATGCAGAGCTGTTCCATGGCTCCGGAACCCATCACAGCCCCATTCCCTGGGGACACCTCTGCTCCCCCAAAAGTCCCACCACTTCCTCAGCCCCAGGTCCTTCAGCCCAGCCCCTCCTGCCCCCATGTTTCAGGCTCTCTGGGCGAGAGAATCCGGGAAGAGATTTACAGTTCCTGACTCTTTCCTCTCCCCAGCCTCCTCAGCTGGGGAGACAGGAGGTGTGGATCAGTGGTTTCTGGGTCTGCCTCCATAGGGGCGGGACATTCCCAAGGGTCCCAACACTTTATCGTGGCAATGCATGGGGGGGATTGGGGGGTCTCACAGGACGTTCTCAGCTGCTGGGGCCATGAGCTAGGGACCCAGGTCCCAAAAAACAAAGACCACCCCCACCCCCCCAACTCCACCCCAATAAGCAACACTGAGCTGGGGAACATACGCACATTTCTTTTTGTTTTGTTTTGTTTTTGAGGCGGAGTCTTGCTCTGTCACCCAGGCTGGAGTGCAGTGGCACGATCTCAGCTTACTGCAACCTCCACCTCCCGGGTTCAAGTGATTCTCCTGCCTCAGCCTCCCAAGTAGCTGGGATCATGGGCATGAGTCACCAGCCCAGTTAATTTTTGTATTTTTAGTAGAGGTGGGGTTTCACCATGTTGGCCAGGCTGGTCTCGAACTCCTGACCTCAGGTGATCTACCCTCCTTGGCCTCCCAAAGTGCTGGGATTACAGGCGTGAACCACTGCGCCCGGCCACATAAGCACATTTCTAAATCTTGACTTCCCTCCTCCAAGGGGATGCAAAAGAAAAAAAAAAAAAAGATGATAGCAGCTAAAGAAAGAGAGTCAATAATGAAACAGAGAAGCCGGAGAGGGCATCAAAGGGCAAGGTGGCTGGCGGGCCAGGCGGGTGCGGTGGCGCGGTGGTGCGGTTACCCTGTTGTCCGCTAATTCTCGGAGCAGCCGCTCGGCCTGCGCCTTCTCCAGTAGCAGGCTCTGTTCCAGCTCCCCAATGCGCGCGTGCTCCAGCTGCGTCTGGGTCTGGTCCACCCAGGGTGGACACGGCGGGGGGTGGGGGGCGGGGACGCAGGGAGGGGGGCACAGGGAAGAAGAAGCCGGAGAGAGAGAGAAAGAAAGAGAGAGAGAGAGAGAGGAGGCGTCATCTTCCGTGAACAAGGCGAGGAGAGTAGATTCATGAGCCAGAATTGCTCAGGGAAAGAGAGAGTCTGGGGAGGCGAGGGGCGTGGGGCCTGATGCCCACCCCTTGCTGTGTCCCGGCTGGGTCAGTGCAGGGCGGGGGTTGGGCTGCAGCCATCCTCCCTCGCCGGCCCCTGCTTGGGGTAGCAATGGGCACCTCGCTTCTTTTCTGTCACCCCCCCACCCCCAACTAGCAGCCCTTGACCTTGAAGGTCCTCTTCAAGGACCTGCTCCTGGAGAGGGTCCCATCCTGTTCCTGTTCCCCTGCAGGCTGTCACTGGTTGTAGGCAAAGCATCCTGTACATAGGAGACCCCCAGGATGAGGAATAAATAAAGGACCCTGGGATTCCCGCTCGACTTCCCCCCAGGACTGTGCTAAAAGTGCAAGAACCCATAACACGAAAGATGTTTCCAAAATGTACTCGAGCCCTCGCGATTCTCTTGGCCCCAGCCTCCTTGGTGGAGGCTGGGCTGTGCCTCCCACCACCGGGCCCCATTGGTGCCCACCCCCCCGGACCCCACAGAGGACGCCTGGTCTCCATAAATCACAAGGGCACTTTTGTCCCAGCTCGACAATATCCGCTTCATCTGCTGACAAAGGCCAGCATTCTCAGGGTGTCGAGACTGGCTTTTGCATTTCACATAACAGATCTTGGAAGGGAAGCTGGGGAGGGTGAGGACATTTGGAGCGGTTTGGAAACCCAAGTTCATCTTAGGGAGAAGCCAGAGGGTCCTCTTTATACTCCAGGAGAGAAGGGGTTAAAGCAGCTGCAGGGCAGTTCTGAAGGGGCGGGGCTTAGCGAAACAGCATCCAGGTGTGAAACCTGTAATAAAACCCCGGAAGCTTGTCTATTGGTGAAGGTGTAAACGGACACCACCTGAATAGAAATACTCCTGCAATTCATTAAGTGACATTGAGATGATTATGTCCTTTGGCCTATTTTATTTCTTGAATTTTCCTTAAGGAACAACAAAAAAAGGTTCTCTCTCTCCTCTCTCCTTCCGTTTCTCTCTCTCCCCTCTCCTTCCCACTTTCTCTTCTTTCTCCCCACCCCACCCCCATCTCTCTCCCTCCTTCGTTCTTTATCCCTCTCTCCCACCCTCTCTCTTTCCATTCCCCTCCCTGTCTCTTTCCTTCCCTCATTTTCTCCCCCTCCCCTTCTCTCCCCACCCTTCCTCTCTCCCCTCTCTGTCTCCCTCCCTCCCCCGCCTCTCCCGCCTCCCTCCTGGCAGTGTGTTCCTGTGCCAACAAGAAGTCAGCCTGTCTCTTCCAGAAAATCACAAGCTCCATCCCAGCCACCCCATCCCCGTTGGTGGGCACAACAGCCCTGCCTGGAACCCTCATAGATGGTGCACGATCCTACACACTGAACCAGTAGCCTGCACAGGCAAGAAAAAGCCTCCAGCTTCCCAGTTTCAAGGGCAACTTCATTTGGTCCCACTCCAAAGGACTCCTCCTCTCACTTTCTTTTTTTGTTGTTGTTGAGACAGAGTTTCCCTCTTTCACCCAGGCTGGAATGCAGTGGTGCAATCTCGGCTCCCTGCAACCTCCACCTACCAGGTTCAAGTGATTCTCCAGCCTCAGCCTCCCAAGTAGCTGGGATTACAGGTGCCTACCATCATGCCCAGCTAATTTTTGTATTTTTGAGTAGAGATGGGGTTTCACCATGTCGGCTGATCTCCAACCCCTGACCTCAGGTGATCTGCCCGCCTCACCCTCCCAAAGTGCTGGGATTACAGATATGAGTCACCACGCCTGGCCCCCTCAAAGGGTTTATATTCTGGGGGTGGAGGGGGATGCAAACCATAAAAGAACAGTGAAGATCACTCCAGATTGTGATTTGCACTATGAACAGAGCACTGGGGAGAGAGTAACTGGAATGAAGGTGAAATAGAGGAAACATGTAATTTACCAGTGAGTCCTGAAGGACAAGAAGGACTCTGTACAAGGCAGGCGCCAGAGGAAGAGGCGCAAGTGTTTCAGGCAGGGGAACTAGCGTGTACAAAAGCTCAGAGGCAAGACACAACTTCTGGTGTTCCAGAAACAGAAAAGCCTGGTGTATGATAACTTAGGGGCAGGGGTGTGAGACAGGGCTGGGACAACATGGTGTGTGGGGGGGTTGGGCCCTGGGGGTCTTCTCTGCTTCTCTGGCCCACTCTACAGAGCCTAGATGATAGTAAATGTCACAGTGCTAAATGTGTCAGCAGGAAAGGGGCAGGATCTGATTTACATTTTTATTTTTAAATTATTATTATTTTTTTCGAGGCAGAGTCTCGCTCTGTCACCCAGGCTGGAGTGCAGTGGTGGAAGCCTGGCTCAGCAACCTCAGCCTCCTGGGTTCAAGCGATTCTCCTGCCTCAGCCTCCCGAGTAGCTGGAATTACAGGTGAGTGCCACCATGCCCAGCTAATTTTTGTATTTTTAGTAGAGATGGGGTTTCGCCATGTTAGCCAGGCTGGTTTGGAGTTCCTGACCTCGAATGATCCGCCCACCTTGGCTTCCCAAAGTGCTGGGATTACAGGCGTGAGCCACCACACCCAGCCATATTTTTAAACTTTTTATTTATTTATTTTTAGAGATGGGGTCTTGCTCTGTCACCCAGGCTGGAGTGCAGTGGCACCATCATAGCTCACTGTAGCCTCAACCTCCTGGACTCAAAGGATCCTCCTGCCTCAGCCTCCCAAGTAGCTGGGACTACAGGCACGTGCTACCATGCCTGGTGAATTTTTTATTTTATTTATTTTGTTTCTTTGTTTCTACTTGTTTTTGAGACAGAGTCTCACTCTGTTGCCCCGGCTGGAGTGCAGTGGCATGATCTTGGTTCACTGCAACCTCTGCCTCCTGGGCTCAAGTGATTCTCCTGCCTCAGCTTCCTGAGTAGCTGGGATTACTGGTGCCCACCACCATGCCCAGCTAATTTTTGTATTTTTAGTAGAGACAGGGTTTCACCATGTTGGCCAGGCTGGTCTGAATCTCCTGACCTCAAGTGATCCACCCGCCTTGGCCTCCCAAAGTGCTGGGATGATAGGCGTCAGCCACTGCACCCAGTCAGAATACTTTAATTTTTGTGGAGATGGAGTCTCACTATGCTGCCCAGACTGGTCTCTAACTCCTGGCCTCAAGTAACCCTCCCACCTCTACCTCCCAAGTATTGGATTGCAGGTGTGAGTCACCGCACCTGGCCTGATTTACATTTTTAAAATATTTGGCCATATGACATCTGGGATGTGGGGGTGGGGGGGTCCTGGGTCGGGGCATGCCTGAAATAAGACTGGCGGTGAGTTGGTAACTGTTGAAGCTGAGTGATGAGTAAATGAAAGGTCATTATACTGTCTTCTCTATTTTTGTATAGGCTTAAAATTTTCCAACATTAAAAATGAAAAAGATATTTTAAAAAAAGACTAGATTCAGTGTGGAGAATGGACTTTGGAGGAACAGAAGACTAAGGAGTGGGCTATCTATGGCATGGTGCTGGGGCCTGGCCCAGGGAGGCAGCTGTGGGGATGTGCGTCATTTTGGAGACAAGGTCAAAAGGAATTTTTTGTTTTCTATTTTTTTAATTTTTTAACTTTTATTTTATTTTTATTTATTTATTTATTTTTGAGACAAGTCTCGCACTGTCGCCCAGGCTGGAGTGCAATGATGCAATCTCAGCTCACTGCAAGCTCCGCCTCCCAGGTTCAAGCAATTCTCCTATCTCAGCCTCCAGGGTAGCTGGGATTACAGGCGCCCACCACCACGCCCGGCTAATTTTTTGTATTTTTAGTAGAGATGGGGTTTCACTATGTTGGTCAGGCTGGTCTCAAACTCCTGACCTCATGATCCGCCCGCCTCGGCCTCCCAAAGTGCTGTGATTACAGACGTGAGCCACCACGCCCGGCCTTTATTTTTTGAGACAAGGTCTTGCTCTTGCTTTGTTGCCTGGGCTGGAGTGCAGTGGTGTGATCACAGCTCACTGCAGCCTCAGCTGTCCGGGCTCAAGCGATCCTCTCACTTCAGCCTCCCAAGTAGCTGGGACCATAGGTATGTGTTACCATACCTGGATACTTTTTCCATTGTTGGTAGAGACAAGGTTTCCCTATGTTGCCCAGGCTGGTCTCGAACTCCTGGGCTTAATCAATCCTCCCGCCCTGGCTTCCCAAAGTGCTTGGATTACAAGCATGTGCCACGATGCCTGCCTTATTTTTTTATATATTTTTTAGAAACAGGGTCTTGCTATGTTGCCCAGGCTGGTCTCAAACTCCTGGGCTCAAGCAATCTTCCTGTATCAGGCTCCCAAAGCATTGGGATTACAGGCGTGAGCCACCATGCCCAGCCAACTGTGTGGATTTGGGGGCCAATTCCTGAGATGGGAACTATAAGGGGAGTGGTGTTAGGGGAGGCCTGGATAGATGTAGTTAGGACATGTTCAATTTGGGCTGCAGTCCTGGGTTGAATAGTGTCCTCTTAAATTTCATGCCCACTCAGAACCTCAAGATGTGACCTTAGCCAGCCATGGTGGTTCACACCTATAATCCCAGAATTTTGAGAGTCTAGGGTGGGAGGATCGCTTGAGCTCAGAAGTTTGAGACCTGCCTGGACAATATAGTGAGATCCCATCTCTATAAAAATCAAACAAAATAAAGAACGAATGTGACCTTGTTTGGAATAGGGTCTTGCACATGTAGTTAGTTAAAATGAGGTCATATTGGATTAGGATTGGATTAGAGTGGGCCCTAAATCCAGTGACTGCTGTCTCCATAAGATGGTCAAGTGAAGTGCTACAAAGGGAAGCTGACAAAGTGACAGGAGGCAGGGATTGGCCTGATGCAGTTATACAGGCCAAAGAGCACCAAAAGCTGCTGGCAATCCTACTGGAAGGTAGATTGGAATAGACTCTCCAACACCTTGATTTCAGACTTTTTTTTTTTTCTTTTTTTGCGAAGGAGTCTCACTCTGCTGTCCAGGCTGAAGTGCAGTGGTGCAATCTCGGCTCACCGTAACCTCCGCCTCCCGAGTTCAAGTGATTCCCCTGCCTCAGTCTCCAGAGTAGCTGGGATTACAGGCGCCCACCACCATGCCAAACTAATTTTGTATTTTTAGTAGAGACAGTGTTTCACCACACTGGCCAGGCTGGTCTAGAACTCCTGACCTCAAGTGATCCACCCACTTTGGCGTCCCAAAGTGTTGGGATTACAGGCATGAGCCACCATGCCCAGGCTTGATTTTAGACTTCTGGCTTCCAGAACTGCGAGGGCATATGTTTGTGTTGTTTTAAGCCACACATTTGCAGCCAGGCGTTACTGCAGCCCCAGGAAATTGATACAGCTGCTTATTCTTCCTCAATTGGGTGGAGATGTGAAGTGGGCGTGGTAGAGGGAGCTTGGGGAAGACTGTAGGACTCATACGGGCTCATCCAGGGCACAGAGGCCACAGTTTGGAAGCTCTCAGGGCGAGTGTGGACAAGGGATGAAGGGCCTGGGACTGAGCTCTTGGATGGGCCAGTGTTCAGAGAACAGGAAGGAGGAGCAGCCAGCAGAAGAGGCGGGGGAGTTGGAATGGGGCCTTCTCATTGTGCAGCTGGGGGAGTGTGGACAGGAGGGAAGACCATGAGCCTGATAAACTCCTGGAGAGTTCTGCAATAAAGACAGGCAGAGAGGTGGAGTGATAAAGCTGGAGGAGCCCAGGAGGTCAAGGAGGGGCTCTGGTTTTTATTTCTGACTTTTAAGATGGGTGGAGGCCAGATGTGATGGCTCATGCATGTAATCCCAGCCCTTTGGGAGGCCGAGGCAGGAGAATTGCTTGAGACTAGGAGTTTGAGACCCACTTGGGCAACATAGTGAGACCCCGCCTCTACAAAAAAAAAAAAAAATTAGCCGGGTGTGGGGATACACGCCTGTAGTCCCAGCTACTTGAGAGGCTGAGGTAAAGCCTCACTTGAGCCCAGGAAGTGGAGGCTTCAGTGAGCCCAGATCATGCCACTGTACTCCAGCCTGGGCAACAGAGTGAGATCCTGTCTCAAAAAAAAAAAAAAAAAAAAAAAAAAGGGTGGGGATGAAGGGATGAGTGGGACTTTGGTCATTTTGCCTTCTGGTTGCCATGAACATGATCACAATTCAGTTTGGTACAATAAAACGTCAAGTGGGGATTCTGCAACCCTTTGGACTGAATTAGCTGTCTGTCACTGTCTGTCCCGCCCTCTGCCTCTCCCAGCCAGGGCCGATTGGATCCGGGGTGGACCCCTATCCAGAGCCAGCCAGCCCATTGGCTACCACTGGGACCAATCAGAGCCTCTCTCGATGACAGCTGGTAGGTAGTGGGCGGGGCTGGGAGAAGAGCAAGCCGGGAGACACAGTGGGAAACAGACAGGAGCCTGACCCCAGACACAGATGGGAGGGAGGCCCTGAGCAAGGGGCACATGGATGGGCTTAGCTCCTGATGCTGCTTCTGGCTCCAGTCCCCTGAACGGCCTGCCCTGCTGTGCCCTTTCCTACAGCCCTTCAGTAAGCCCCCATGGTGACTGCAGCTGGCACAGGGGGTCTCTGTTCCTGGCAAACACAGGTGCTTTTCCCAGAACCCCATCCAACCCCTGCAGGAGAGCAGCTGCCAATGGAAAAGTCAGCCAGGAGCAACCACATGGCCTGCCCCTTGGCTAAGAGGGAAACTTAATTAGAACATGCCGAGCTGGGCTGAGGCTCTGACGCCGGGTTGTGCCCCAACATCCATTTTTTTTTTTTTTTTTTTGAGACAGTCTCACAAAAAAAAAACAAAGAAAACAAAACAACAACAACAAAAAAACAGGTGCAATCATAGCTCACTGGAGCCTCCATCTCCCAGACTCAAGCGATCCTCTAGCCTCAGCCTCCCCAAGTAGCTGGGACCACAGGTGCACATGACCAAGCTCAGCTAACTTTTTAAATTTTTTGTAGAGATGGGGTCTTGGTACGTTGCCCAGGCTGGTCTTGAACTCCTGGGCTCAAGTGATCCTCTGCCTTGGCCTCCTGAAGGGCTGGGATTATAGGTGTGAGCCACCACGCCCAGCTCCATTGGTCTCTGAGCCTCAGTTTTCCTACCTACAAATTCTGTGACTCAGCAAGCTACTTTCAGCTAAAATTTTACCTGGAATCCAAGATGAACGAAGGGGCACCTTTAGGGCTATTGCCTAAGAAGAAGGGACAGGGGACCTCAGCCACTCTATCCTGGGGCCCAGCCCTCCATCTGCCCTGCCCTGGCTTCATCCTGCCCACCCCATCCAGCTGCTGACACCGGGAGCGCAGCTTCTCTGGGGGGCTCCTGGGGCTGAACCACTCACACCTCAGACACTAGACCTTTGATCCTTCCCCGTTTCCCCCCGACCAGCCCCTTCCCCCAGGGTCCTGGAGTTGCTGCTGGACCTCACGACCATCTGCCCTAGCAAGGGCCAGGCACTGGTGCTAAGAGTGCCCAGGGAAGGGGCCTCTGACTGTTACCTCCAGGTCTCCCTTGGTGATGGACTCCTCCTCCACGCGGAACTGCAGATCCTCCACCTTCCTGCAGGGGAGGGAAAGAGGCGGCTGACCCGGCTTTGCCCAGAGCAACAGGATTCACCGAGTAAGCAACAGCAGAGAAGAGGCGAGGCCATCAGAATGGCCCAGAGTCCAGAGGCGAGGCCATCAAAATGGCCCACAGTCCTGGAAAGCTCTAGACCTCCCAACCTGCTGTCCTGCACTCTAGGAAGAACCACAAATAACTCCAGAATGGGAGTGTTTAAGGCAACACCCTTCCTCCTCAGGGTGGGGGGAAATAAAATAAAGGACAGGGTGGCCCGGGGATGTGAGTGACAACACTGTTTTCTTTCCTTTCTTCCTTCCTTCCCCTTCCCCTTCCCCTTCCTTCCTTCCTTCCTTCCCTCCCTCCCTCCCTTTCTTCCCTCCCTCCCTCCCTCCCTTTCTCTCTCTCTCTCTCTCTCTCTCTCTCTCTCTCTCTCTCTCTTTTTGACAGAGTCTCCCTCTGTTGCCCAGGTTGGAGTGCAGTGGCGTGATCTCGGCTCACTGAAGCCTTTGCCTCCCGGGTTCAAGCGATTCTCCTGCCTCAGCTTCCCAAGTAGCTGGGATTACAGGCATGCGCCACTGGGCATGCAACCTCAATACAAAATTTTTGTATTTTTAGTAGAGACGGGGTTTTGCCATGTTGGCCAGACTGGTCTCGAACTCCTGGCCTCAACTGATCCACCCACTTCAGCCTCCCAAAGTGCTGGGATTACAGGCGTGAGCCTCCACGCCCAGCCAACAACACTGTTTTCATCACTGCGGGGAACAGACAACTACCACAGGGAACAAGCTGTGGGGAGGAAGGAAAGGAGAGGGGGAAAGTGGGCTTCCTTTGCTATTGACCCCGTTCTCATCACAGGCCTCAACACTGGGGGCCAGAGGCCCAATCCCCACTCCCAGGACTGCCCCCGGATGTGGAATGTCCAGGCATTCAGGGCTGCCCTCAGGGAGACACACTCAGCCACACACCTGTGACGACAGCGCAGGGGAGAGACACAGGTCCACTCCACCTTCTAGCCACACATAGGAGCTCAAAGCTGGGCCAGGCACGGTGGCTCATGCCCAGAATCCCAAAACTTTGGGAGGCCGAGGCAGGCAGATCACCTGAGGTCGGGAGTTTGAGACCAGCCTGACCAACATGGAGAAACTCTGTCTCTACTAAAAATACAAAATTAGCCGGGCTTGGTGGCGCATGCCTGTAATCTCAGCTACTCAGGAGGTTGAGGCAGGAGAATTGCTTGAACCCAAGAGACGGAGGTTGCGGTGAGTCCAGACTGCGCCATTGCACTCCAGCCTGGGCAACAAGAGCAAAACTCTGTCTCAGAAAAAAACAAACAAACAAACAAAACTCAAAGCTGCTCTTCCTAGGGCTTCCTAACAGCTCTCAGCATAGCAATGAGGAATGAGGCCCAGAGAGGGCAAGCGACCTGCCCAAGGCCACACAGCAAGCACAGGACAATGCAGAGACTTCCACCCAGGCCCCTTCTGAACACAACTCCATGATGCCTTCAAGATCTGTATTTGTGGCTGAGCACAGTGGCTCGTGCCTGTAAACCCAGCACTTTGGGAGGCCGAGGGAGGCAGATCACTTGAGTCCAGGAGTTCAAGACCAACTGGGCAACATGGTGTAACCCCATCTTTACTGAAAATATAAAAATTAGCCAGGCATGGTGGCGTGAGCGTGTAATCCCAGCTATTCAGGAGGCTGAGGCAGGAGGAGAATTGCTTGAACCAGGAAGTGGAGGTTGCAGTGAGCCAAGATCACACCACTGTACTCCAGCCTGGGTGACAGAGCAAGACTCCATCTTAAAAAAAAAAGAAAAGAAAAGAAAAAAAAGATCAGTGTTTGTTTGTCGGTGTCAGGCACGTCGCCTTGGGAACCAGATGTGTGGGCCCCTACGGCTGTCTCAGGCAGATATAAATACACCCTCATCTCCCTGAATCCGACAGTAACAACAGCTTATGGAGCACAGGTGCTAGCTGAAAGCTCACAGAACAGACCCAAGTGGGGGTGCTGGGGATGGGGCTGGCTGCTGCCTGGGGACAGGGGAGGGAGATGTAGGTATCTGGGCATCATCTACGAGGTAAAGAGGATCCTGGGCCAAGGCAAACCTCTGTCCACTGTCAGCTTTGTGTCCTACGAGGAGGTGACCCAGGACCAAGTCGGCCAGAGTCCCTGCCGCCTGGTGTCTTTGGTTGGAGGGCTGCAAGGGAGATGGGTCCCGCTTGTGCCTTTTTTTTTTTTTTTTTTTTTGAGGCGGAGTCTCGCTCTGTCACCCAGCTGGACTGTAGTGTCGCTATCTCGGCTCACTGCAACCTCCACCTCCCAGGTTCAAGTGATTCTCCTGCCTCTGCCTCCCGAGTAGCTGGGATTACAGGCGCCCACCACCACGCCTGGCTAATTTTCGTGTTTTTAGTAGAGATGGAGTTTCACCATGTCGGTCAGGCCGGTCTCAAACTCCTGACCTCAGGTGATTCGCCCACCTTGGCCTCCCAAAATGCTGAGATTACAGGTGTGAGCCACTGCACCTGGCCAGCTGTGGCACTGAAAGTGATGACACCAGCGAAGCATGCAGCACAGGGCTGACACCTGGACACAGGGTATTTCAGGAGTCCCTTGGCTGCTGTTTCTCTTAGCCTCAGCTTCCTGATGTGTAAAATGGGAATGGATACAAAAAATTAGCTGTGCATGATGGCGTGTGCCTGTAGTCCTAGCTACCTGGAAGGCTGAGGTGGCAGGATTGCATGAGTCTGGGAGATTGAGATTGCAATGCGCCATGGCCAAGCTACTGCACTCCAGCCTGGGTGACAGAGCAAGACTGTGCTCTTTTCTCAAAAGAGAAAAATAAAGGAGGCCGGGTGTGGTGGCTCACGGCTGTAATCCCAGCACTTTGGGAGGCTGAGGCGGGTGGATCACCCGAGGTCAGGAGTTCGAGACCAGCCTGGACAATATGGTGAAACTCCATCTCTACTAAAAATACAAAAATAAGCTGGGCATGGTGGCACACGCCTGTAATCCCAGCTACTTAGGAGGCTGAGGCAGGAGAATCACTTGAACCTGGGAGGTGGAGATTGCAGTGAGCCAAGATCGCACCACTGCACTCCAGTCTGGGCAACAAGAGCAAGACTCCATCTAAAAGAAAGAAGGGAGGGAAGGAAGAAAGGGAGGGAGGGAGGGAAGGAAGGAGGAAGGAAACAAAAAACAAAAAAACCCAAAAACAAAAACCCCAGGACAGGAGCTGTGAGCTCCACCCACGGTCTCAGTCCTGGGTTAGGGAGGGGCACACTGTGTGAACAGTGGAGGGGTGGGACATTTAAGCTTCTTCCTGGCGCATGGCTCCCCAGGGACACCTGGTGTGATAACCAACCTCCCTTCCACCGCTGCCAGCCATTATCTTCTCAATATTCTGCTGGAGAGTGCAGAACAATGAACTCTATGCAATGAACAAATGTGGTGTTCAAGGCCGGGCGCAACAGTTCATGCCTGCACTTTGGGAGGCCGAGGAGGGTGGATAGCCTGAGGTCAGGAGTTCCAGACCAGCCTGGCCAACCTGCCCAAACCCCATCTCTACAACAAATACAAAAATGAACCAGGTGTGGTGGCGGACGCCTGTGGTCCCAGCTACCCAGGAGGCTGAGGTGGGAGGATCGCTTGAACCCGGGAGGTCAAGCCTGCAGTGAGCTGTGATCATGGCTCTATACTCCAGCCTGGTGAGACCCTGTTTCAAAAAAAGTTTAAATATGTGGTATCTCTCTGTGCCTGGCACCGTGCTGGGTGCTTTACTCCAGTTGTATGAAGAGTTCTCCCAACGGCCTGCAGAAGACAGGACCAGTAACTCACTTTACAGATGGGAAGACTGAGGCCCAAGAGCTCATGTCACCAGTCCAGGGTGACACAGCCAGGCGGTGGCAGGGGCAGGACTGGAACCTGGGTCTGCAGTTCCCAAACCTGCCCTCTTCCTCATCCTCCTTACGGGGGATCAGGGAGAATGTCCTCCCAGGGTTGAGGATGGGCCAGCACGTACCTCCTCTCCTCCTCCAGCTGGTTGGACAGGTCCACCTTCTCTTTCCGCACGCTCTCCACCAGCAACCGGGCTCGCTGCAGCTTCTCTTCAGCTTCTGCAACATACTGAGCCCCCGAGGAAGGCCAAAACGGGGTCAGCATGCTCCGGGGTGCGGGGCCCAGGTTGGGGGTGTAGTGGGAGAGAGGCAAGGAGCCGGGCCTGGAACCCCAGTCACCCCAACTTCCCTGCTGGCACCTGCCGGGCATGCACAGTGGGCCTAGATGTGAAGGAAGGGACCCAGCAGGAAAAAGAGAGGCAGAGGCAAGACCCTCAGGCCACCTGCCCTCAGTACCTGCCACCCCCCCTCAATCCACAAGAGCCTAAGACCTGTTATCTTGCAAACCTGTTGTCTGGTCTGTGCCCCATCAAAGCACAGCCATGACTTTGGCCTTATTAATCCTGGCATCCAAGGAGGGGCAAGCCAGACCCCAGATGGGGACAGAGGCCCAGGAGGGAGCTCTCCCACGGGAGACAAAGATCAGAGAAAAAACCAGACACAAGACAGCAGCAGCCCCAAGGCCTGGGGCAGGGAGTCACTTCCCTGAAATACAAACCTAGAATCTGCTCAAAAGAATAATCTGAAATATAGATAGTCATATTAAAAAATATATTTACTGCAGTGGTATGTAGAAAGAGTGAAAAACTGGCTGAGTGCGGTGGCTCACGCCTGTAATCCCAGTATTTTGGGAGGCCGAGGCGGGCAGATCACTTGAGGCCAGGAGTTCGAGACCAGCCTGGCCAACATGGTGAAACCCCGTCTCTACTAAAAATACAAAAATTAGATTAGCTGGGCCCGGTGGCACACACCTGTAGTCCCAGTTACTAAGGAGGCTGAGGCAGGAGAATTGCTTGAATCCAGGAGGCGGAGGGTGCAGTGAGCCGAGATCGCGTTACTGCTCTCCAGCCTGGGCAACAGAGTGAGACTCTGTCTCAAAAAAAGTGAAAACTTGGAAATAATCTAAACAGCAGGGGACTAGTCACATCAGATGTCATTAAGGACAAAGCCTGTGACAGACGGCAATGCAAACATCAAGATGGGGAAGAGGCGGGACACGTGGCTCATGCCTGTAAAAATTGCATTGCTTTGCAAGACCAAAGTGGGAGAGTCACTTGAGGTCAGGAGTTTCAGACAAGACTGGGCAACATAGTAAGACCCCATCTCCACAAAAAAATACAAAACTTAGCTGGGCATGGTGGCACTTGCCTGTAATCCCAGCTACTCAAGAAGCTGAGGCAGGAGAATCGCTTGAACCGAGGAGGTGGGGGTTGTAGGGAGCTGAGACTGCACCACTACACACCAGCCTGGGTGACACAGCGGGACTCCGTCAAAAAAAAAAAAAAGAAAGAAAAAAAGAAAATAAATAATAAAAAAGCAGGATATACAAGCTTGTAGCCAGATTCTGAAAGTAGGTGTACGCATCCTTATACATAGGCAGAAAAGACTGGAAGGAAATTCACCAGGTCACTGAGGCTTATCTGTGGAAAGCGGGGGATGGGTACTGCTTGTGTTATCTTCCTATTTCTCTGCACCCACCCCATCCAGGGTCTCCGCTCTGAGTGGGTAAGACTCTATGAGACTGGCTGGAGAAGCTCCACCCCCAGCCCCACCTGCCACTCACCTGCTCATGCTGTGCCTTGAGCAGGGCGATCTCCTTCTCTACCTCGCAGATGTGGCTCGTGGCTTTGGCCACCTCGGCCCGTTCCAGGTCTCGTTCGGCCAGCAGCTGCTCAATGTGCTGCTGCTTCTCCTTCAGTGCCTCCTGCAAGGCTGTGGTGCCCGAGATCTTGCGGGCGTAGCGTGAAGAGGTCTCCGTGAGCTGCAGGAAGGTGTGCGTGCAGGTGGGTCTCAGGGATCTGAAGCACTGTGGGGCAGGCTCGCTCTGTCCAGCCTAACCTGCAGCAGCGCAGCAGGTGGGGGGCCCAAGTGCCTTGACTCCCAGGGTCCTGCTCTTCCTCTGCCAGTACTCTGACATCCTGGCCCCTGCAGACTCACCCAGCGGGGAATCCTGATGTTTGAGATTCAGGAAATTCCCCATCTCAGGAGAATCAGCTCCTGATAGCCAGAGCCTCTGATTTCCTCACTTTGGCCGCTTTTTCCTAGGACAAGAGGAACCTCCAACCCTAGACTGGGTTTGGACAGAATGCCCTCTGCCCATAGCCACCGAGCAGCCTCCTCTTTTCCCTTCATCCAGGGTTCGATGCCAACCTTTCTGAACCCCTTGCCCTGTATCTGTATAACCCTCCTTAACTTCCAGAGAAAGGCTTAGGCTTCCAATAAATCAGTTATATAAAAATGACAATAAACATAAATGGCTCAATTTTCCCTATTAAAAGATATGCACTTTCTACTTTGTTCAAAAATCTCAAACTGGAACTAGAGTAAGTCAGGAGCAGATCAGAACACCTGGATCTCTGTACATCCTCACCCCTCCCAAACACACACCAGAGAATCCCCTTCTGCAGCCCCACCCTCACCAGGCCACTGCGGCTGGGCCGACCCCCCACGGAGGAGGCCACAGAGCTGACGGAGCTGATGGAGGAACTGCTGGGACTGTGGGTCAGTGCTGACACACCCATGGCCATACGCTTGGTCTTCTTGGCCTTGGCTGGGCTGGTAGATGGGAAGCCGATACGGATCACCTTGTGGATGGGCGCAAAGAGACCAAACTTGGGTGGGCACTGGAAGTACCTGTGGAAGCAGGAGAGACCCACGCTGCTGTCACGGCCCCAAAGCCTGGAGCCTCCCCTGCCTCTTCTGCCTTTTCAGAGCCCGGCAGAAAAAGAGAAAGACACCTCCTTGGGGTCCATGTGGAAAGACACTCCAAGGTGGAAATCTTCCAGGTGGATAGATAGGACTCTCAGAAAAAGGATAGAGGTGAGTAGGGTCTGAGAGTCTCTGCAGCTGTGAACAGCCAACGAGGATACTCTTGGAAGTAGGAAATAATTACGGGGACCCACTTTGTGCCAGTCTTTTTAAATGAATGCTCATCTCTATCCCCCAAAGTTCTCTACATTCACAAATGAGAAAATTTAGGCTCAGAGAAGTTAAATAACTTGCCCACAGTCACACAGCTGGTTACATAGCAAAGCTGAGACTGGTCCTCCAGTCTGCTGGGCTCCAAAGCCCACTAAGCTTGGCTCCCATGACTGTTCAGAGACCCCAGCCACAGCTGCAGCCCCACACTCAGGCTACCCTCAGACCACTCCCAGAATGAAGGAATCCCATCAGCTCTCTGCCCATAAAGTCCCTGTATGGAGAAGCAAAAGCTTGAAAGAGAAACCTTGGGGTGGGGTGGGGACTGCTGTCCAATCCACCCCTGAATTCTGAAAGCAAAAGTAAGTCAAGAGAAACGTTCATCTTGCAAACAGGAAGGCAAAGCATTGTTATGGAAACCCCGGATTCCTGTCTTCTCTCAAGACCTCTCTGGTCACGGATTCCACACTGGACCACGAGAATTGGGCCCAACCAGTTTTTCTATTTCTTTCGAGACAGGGTCTGGCTCTGTCACCCAGGCTGGAGTGCAGTGGTGCGATCATAGCTCACTGCAGCCTCAGCCTCCTGGGTTCATGCAATCCTCCCACCTCAGCCTCCCAGGTAGCTGAAACCACAGGCGTGTGCCACCATGCCTAGCTAATTTTTGTATCTTTTGTAGAGATGGTGTTTTGCTATGTTGTCCAGGCTAGTCTTTCACTGCTGGCTTCAAGTGATCCAGCCTCAGCCTCCCAAAGTGCTGGGATTACAGACGTGAGTCACCATGCCTGGCTCCCATTCAGCTTCTGATTCACCTTAAAATTGCCACCTTATCCTGCCTCTTCCCACCTCCAGGTCTTTGTTCATACTGTGCTCTCAGCCCCTACCTTGCATAATCCCTCTCCAGCCTCTTCCAAAAGGAAACCCTACCTTCTTTCAAGGCCTGGCCCAAGCCTGGCTCTTCCCCTGTGCCATGGTGACCACTCTGCTCAGAGCAGTCACAGCCTCATCTCAACCACAGAATCCAGTCCAGGGACTGCACAGGGACTCAGGTAGCCTCACCTTAGTCCACACCTGTGACAAACACGGTCCACTTACCACATCACTCCTCCACCCACCATGAGCCCAGACACAGCCTTAGATCCTCCTAACCCAGCAACGCCAGCAGTCAACTCCTTTTCATCAGAGATGGTATGAGACCTGGAACCCATCTGTGAGGCCTGCCTTTGGCCATATAGCGCTGGGCACTGTTTGATTATTTCATGTGTCATTCAGGGGACCCCAATGCCAGACGGCAGGGACTGCTGCCTCGCCATTTTTTTTTTTTTTTTTGACAGTCTTGCTCTGTTGTCCAGGCTGGAATGCAACGGCGTGATCTCAGCTCACTGCAACCTCCACCTCCCAGGTTCCAGCAATTCTCATGCCTCAGCCTCCCAAGTAGCTGGGACTACAGGTGCACGCCACCATGCCTGGCTAATTTTTTTGAGACAGAGTCTCACTCTGTCACCCAGGCTAGAGTGCAGTGGTGTGATTGTGGCTTACTGCAACCTACTCCTCCCTCATTCAAGCGATTCTCATGCCTCAGCCACCCAAGTAGCTGGGATTACAGGTGTGTGCCACCACACCCAGCTAATTTTTTGTATTTTTAGTAGAGACAGGGTTTTGCCATGTTGGCCAGGCTGATCTCGAACACCTGATCTCAAGTGATCCAACTGCCTCGGCCTCCCAAAGGGCTAGGATTACAGGCATGACCCACCGCCTCCCTCTCCTTTTTGAGGGCTCCCATCCCACTTAGCCATGAGTGACATGAAGAAGAGAGCACGGGGACAGATACTCTTGGCGCTTGCCTGTGACTGTGCGACCTTGAACAATGACCTCTCTGGCCTCCATACTCTCATCTGTAAAATGGGATGATAATCCCACTATCCAGCTTAGTGGGCTGTTGGGAAAGAGGGAAGGGGAAAGGATTTATATTATGGTGTCTGACACTACATGCTGGACACTAGCTTCCTCCAATGTCCCATCTCCATCCCCTGCACCCACTCTGGGGAGAGGAACCCCCTCCCATACTCCCCAGAAGAAGCCCACCATACCTGGTGCCCGCCACCGCCCCATCATTCTTCCCAAGGGGCTCGTCCAGCTCCACGCCACACCACTCGCCCTTGGCAAAGTCTGTCTCCCCCACGTACCGCACCACGCCAGTCTTCGTCCCGCCGACCTGTCAGCACACAGGGAGACTCAGGTCTAGAGGATGCAGTGGCACAGGCAGAGACGGCAGGGGCAACCAGCCCAGGCTTATCCCATCCATCCCTTCCAGCATGCAGAGGACACAGGAGCCAGGAATGGGGAGGGAGAGACACCCAAGGATGACTGAGAGGGAGACAGGTTAACCAGTGCCTCCCAGGGTTGACCCAGGCAAGAGCATAGGCTTTGAAGACAGACACACACACCTGCATTCAAACTCTTATCACTTAGAAGCTGTGTGTGTCTAGACAGGTTACCTAACCTCTCTGAGCCTCAGCATCTTCATCTGTAAAAGGGTTTTCGGGGCTGGCTGTGGTGGCTCACGCCTGTAATCCCAGCACTTTGGGAGGCCAAGGTGGGCAGATCACCTGAGGTCAGGAGTTCAAGACCAGCCTGGCCAACATGGTGAAACCCTGTCTCTACTAAAAATACAAAAATTAGTCAGGCCTGGTGGTGGGCACCTATAATCCCAGCTACTTGGGAGGCTGAGGCAGGAGAATTGCTTGAACCTGGGTGGCAGAGGTTGTGGTGAGCCAAGACTGCGCCAGTGCACTCCACCTGGGCAACAGAGTGAGACTCTGCCTCAAAAAAAAAATTTAAAAAAATAAAAAATAAAAAGGTTTTCATGAGAATTAAGCACTGTATATACGATGTCTAGCATATACTAGAGTTTCAATAAATGGTAACCCTAAAAGTAGTTTCTCTTTTTCTTTCCTTCTTTTTTTTTTTGAGATAGGATCTTGCTCTGTTGCTCAGGCTGGAGTGCAGTGGTACAATTATAGCTCACTGCAGCCTCAAACTTTTGGGCTTAAGCAATCCTCCCACCTCAGCCTCCTGAGTAGCTAGGACTATAGGTGTGTGCCACCATACCCAGCTAAAATTTTAAAAAATTTTTTGTAGACATAGGATCTTCCTATGTTGCCCAGGCTGGTCTCAAATTCCTCAAGGCCTCAAGCGATCCTCCTGCCTCAGCCTCCAGAGTAGCTGGGACAATAGGTATGTGCCACTATACCCAACTAAGTTTTAAAAATTTTTTTGTAGACACAGGGTCTTGATATGTTGCCCAAACTGGTCTCAAACTTCAGGATTCAAGCAATCCTCCTGCCTCAGCCTCCCAAATGGCTAAAAGGCTGGGATTTATAGGTGTGAATCACCACACCAGGTCCATATCTAAATTTTTTTTTTTTTTTTTTGAGACAGCATTGATTCTCCTGCCTCAGCCTCCTGAGTAGCTGGGACTACAGGTGAGCGCCACCACGCCCAGCTGATTGTTGTATTTCATATCTAAATTTTGATCTGACTCCAGGTTTGCAGTACTATGACGAAGTGGATAGTACTCATAGATGAGGATGATGTATTGCAGTTACTTTTCCTTTCCAGAAAAAAATTTTTCCCTATAAATAACTATCTTTGATGACTGTCTGCCTAGTGGTTTTTGTTTGTTTGTTTTTTAAGACAGAGTCTCACTCTGTCGCCCAGGCTGGAGTGCAGTGGCACGATCCCGGCTCATTGCAACCTCTGCCTCCCAGGTTCAAGTGATTCTCCTGCCTCAGCCTCCTGATTAGCAGGGACTACAGGCATGCGCCACCATGCCCAGCTAATTTTTTAGTATTTTAAGTAAAGGGGGGTTTCACCATGTTGGCCAGGCTGGTCTCAAACTCCTGACCTCAAGTGATTCACCTGCCTTGGCCTCCCAAAGTGCTGGGATTACAGGCGTGAGCCACCGCACCTGGCCTGTCTGCCTAGTTTTAATAGTCTCAACACTAATTCAACCCCAACTCTTTCAGTAGTCTAAATCTCCTGCCAAGATGCTCAGAGGCATTGGGAATTCTATCAAGTTCTTTCTGAAGATGTGTCTCCCGGAGCCATAGGACCCACTCCGGGTTGGGCTGGCTGCTGGTCTCTCTAGAGTGTGGCCACTGGCCTGGAGTCTCCTGTCCCTGACAACCGCTTTACCTCTGTCCTGGGCTTGATCCTGTTTTCTGGATTCCCTGCCTCTTCTTTCTTGGTTTACTGCTTATTTTATTTTATTTTATTTTGTTTATTTATTTTGAGATGGAGTCTCGCTCTGTGGCCCAGGCTGGAGTGCAATGGCGTGATCTCAGCTCACTGAAACCTCCGCCTCCCGGGTTCAAGCAATTCTCCAGCTTTAGCCTCCAGAGTAGCTGGGATTATAGGCCTTTGTCACCATGCCCAGCTAATTTTTGTATTTTTAGTAGAGACAGGGTTTTGCCATGTTGGCCAGGCTGGTCTTGCACTTCTGACCTCAGGTGATCTGCCCTCCTTGGCCTTCCAAAGTGCTGGGATTAAGGTGTGAGCCACCACGTCCGGCCGGTTTGCTACTTATTTTAGTAGAGAACATCTTCCCACAGCTTTCTAAGAAAAGGTGCATGAGGAGGTACATTTTCGAGCTTTCTATGTCTGAAAATGTTTTATTCTTTATTCTTTTTTGTTTTTTTTGAGACTGGAATGCAGTGGCATGATCTCAGTTCACCACAACCTTGGCCTCCTGGGCAAGCGATTCTCCCACTTCAGCCTCCCATGTAGCTGGGACTACAGGCGCAGGACACCATGCCTGGCTTTTTTTTTTTTTTTTTTTTTTTTGTAGAGATGGGGTTTCTTCACGTTGCCCAGGCTGGTCTCAAACTCCTGGGCTCAAGCAATCCAGTTGCCTCAGCCTCCCAAAGTGCTTGTCTCAGATTACAGGCGTGAGCCACCGTGCCTGGCCAAAATATTTTATTCCATCTCATTCTTTTCTTTTCTCCTTCTCTCCTTCCTTCCTCCCTCCCTCCCTCCTTTTCTTTCTCTTTCTTTCTTTCTTTCTTTCTTTCTTTCTTTCTTTCTTTCTTTCT